ATGAAAAGCGTGTACAGGATCTTCATCAGAAATAAAAAAAAACACCTTATTTTATATTAAAGAGAATGTTAAAATGACATTAAAGAAGTGAATTTAATCTTGGCTATACTTAAAAGTCATGTGGCGCATTTGCAGCATGACTGTGTTTTCACAATTCAAAGTAACTTTGCTCACGTCTCCATTATTGGCTCCGGGCTCGGTCTCTGTCAACTGTTTGAACTGGGATAGTTTAGGGGAGCGTAAACAGCAGTCTAATGTGTTTATCAAACACTAAAGCGCACACCAACAGCTGTTTACTGCACAGAGAGCCAAGCCACATACAACAACAACAACAGCAACAGGAACATGTAATCTGATAAAGTTACACACTATAAGAGGAAAGTGATGTGAAGGGGGGGTTTGTGTCATAGACTCGTACAGAGAATCTGACAATGCGGCCACCCTGCATGTTGACTCCCAGCTCATGCAAACACACCCTCACCCTGGAGGGGGAGAATCAGAGGTAGAGTTAGAGGAAAAGAAAGAAAGCTGACTCAAAGCCCTCTACTCCTGGTGAACAAATCAATAAACACGAGTCCTGTTCACAACAACATGCAATGCGTTCAGTTGTATCATGGGATGGAAAAGTAGACCTAAAAGAGGCCTCCTTGGAGGTCCCTGCCCAAAGAACAAACACAAATACATGGAAATTGCATCTTGGCCCTCTGACCTTGATCAGAAACAGCCAGGAATCAAATGAAACCGCTAAACTGGCTCTGACGTGGTTTGAATGCCGCACTGGATGTCTCTAGTTTTCACTATTTATGTTGGTTGACAGGATGTGTATTTCTTGGCCAAATGTATATTTGTAAAAATCATTACTTCACCAATCTTTGTCTGTTTTTGTTTCTCTGCACTCAAAGTCACAACCAGGAAAAATCACATTTTGACGATAACATATCGTCACTCTATTAAAATAATGGCCCGAGTCATTTATTGACAAAAATGAGTTTTTGGCCTAAATCATCTCCAAATCATTTCGAGAGATGATTTAGGCCAAAAACTCATTTTTGTCAATAAATGACTTAGGCCATTTTTTTTAATAGGGTGACGATATTGTGTTTTCTGTTTAAACCTTAACAATGAGGATTTTTAAGAGGACATTTACGTACCTGACTGTGTGAAATACTTTACTTTGATTGGTCGTGACATGACTTTGGCTGTGTGATTGCTGAGGCTGCAAACATGGATTTATATCACTCTTCTCAACCATCAACTATCTAATCATCACACATATGATCATTACCTTGAGTATCACGCAGCACTCTCCCAACTGTATAGGGGATGTGAGGATCAGCAGGTCTGAGTGTGGGACTGAGTCGAGAAGAGAGAGGGGCCTCTCTGGTGTGAGGACAGCAGAATGAGTGTGGCGATCAGGGCTGTCTGGATCCAAGAAAGAGTCCGATGCTGGGAGGGATGGTAGGAGATAAGTCCACTTCTTTAAACTCAAGGGGGACACTTCAGTACAGGCGCAGCTCTCACGGTAAGCTAGTCTGGCTGCCTGTGAGAACACATACAGAGGGTGGGCTTCATGAATGCAGTTATGATATGATTCTTACAGTACAGAAGCATAACAACTTTCTCACAGAAATTACCCCACCTTTGTTGGTCTTTACTGTTGTTGTTTGGTCCTAATAATGATCAAATACACAATAATGTGACACTCTTGCCCTACCAGCGTTTAACAAAGGTAACATTACTGAGTATGTGGGTTTATGTGCGAGTGCATGTGTGTGTAAGCTGCAGTGACAGAGACGGATTGGGTGTCTGAGGGGACAGATAGCCCCACAGCCAACCTCCACTCACTCACTGAGTGAGATAAGGAGGAGCGTTCATACACAAACACATACACACACACACGCACACACAGACTTCTACCACTAGCATCAACACAAAACATGTTGAGAAATAACTCAACCCTTTACATGAACAACAAAGTGTAGATAAGCCTGGGTTTGGCTGAAAATTGTGGATTCATCACAAAATTTCAAACAAGGAGATAAGAGGGAGACTGCTGCAGCTCTCAAACAGGTTTATAGGATTACACACTAAGATGTTGAGTTCACCAAACTGGAGTGCGCAAGTACAAAAGTGTGCGAGGATGCTGAGACGGTCACGGGCCAGAATTCAGCAAGCTCTTATCACCCTCTGCTTTTTTCTTGTTTCTTTGTGATTGAAGAATGCCCTTAAGGTCCCATAAAAATATGATGAGCTGGAAGAGCAGAGTTCTGAGTTTGTGCCTGTGTGCGTGTAAGACAGAGAGAGAGTGGGGGCTGGTCCTGTGTTTCCGGGTGACCTCAGTGGCCCGGGCTGCCTGTCTTTTAGAGCAGGGGGCTATTAGACCATCAGAAAGTGGGAGCATCTCCTCTCACCATGTTGATAAGATCAAGGCATTCCGACGTCCAGAGCGGTCATTACCCCACTCTCCAGCCCATAATGTTCCTCCATCAAAACACCCTGTTACCGCGGCAATGCAGCTGTGGCCATTTAAGTTATTTCTAAGCCATGTTGTCTCTTTGGGTCATTGACACACAGGCATACAAACACACACAATGCATCGACATGTCATCTGATGAACAGTAAAACACATGCACACTGCTATGTGGGGCTTCATGTCTCTATCCCACACACTCTCTCTCACACACACCCACACACACATGTTTAAACAGACAAGGTCTGCTGCTCTGTCTGGGTGTGATTAAGGCTCATGTGGGGTCATGGCCGCCCGGACAGCGAGTTGATCACTGAGTCACTGTCAACGCAGCAGGACTTCTGACAGACTGTCGAGTAAGACAGTGTGAAAGACTGAGTCATATGTGGTCTGGCTTCAAACACAAACATGGACAGGCCAGCAGATCAGAGGCTGACAGAAACACGCACACAAACAGTGATCTGCATAAACAAACACCTCTAGTTGCTCTGAAGATTCTGTGTTGAAGTTTGTCAAACCCTATTCCTTTATTCTTCATTGAGCCTGTTTAGAGTCATGAAGAGTCACTTCCTATGGTCAGACACAGATCCCTCCTCAACCTGGAAATTTACAACTAACTTCAAAACTCACTCACTTGCTTTTGAGGAACTTGTGTCTAAATATACAAGACATGTTTGCCTCTACAGTACCCATCTATTATTCTCTCGAAACAAAATAACCATTTACTTGCTAGTTTATTCCCACATCTTAACACAGGCCTTTATTTACCAAAACTGAACTTTTAAAAATGAATTTAGTTTGACCTATTTTAAATTAAGTCATACTTAATACCAAATTTAATCACAAATTTCATCTTAATAATCCAAGAGTGGACCAGGAGTTAACCAAATCGATAAACATTATATGCGTATGTGTTTATCATAATTTCAGAAATTAAAGAGAGTTAAGGAATTAGATAACAGTCACTCTAAGCTCACACAGTTTTGCAGACATTTTACATTTGAAGTCTTGCAACGAACCTTTTTAATAAGGATTAAAATCATAATGCATCTCTTTAGGCTTTTAACATATTTTAAATACGTATTAAACAAGCTACTATTGGATATGATTAAATAAAATATAGTCCTTACTTGGCTTATCTGTCAGATAGTGGCGACAACTTGGACAAAAAAGCAAAGATTAGTCTACAATGCCCCCTTGTGGCCTAAACGTGAAAAGGAAACAAACATTAAATGCCACATTATTTAATATTATGGACTAAATGGCGACTAAAATAAGTTATATTATTTACACAAACCTTGGCATCAAAAAACGCAGGCATTTATGTGAACCCTGCTGTGCCTGAGCTTTGAGAGACTCCTTGTATTATAGTAATTTGATCAACAGACGATTTGTTGGCTGGGCCACTGTTTGGAAATAATCCGCTTCACATCGGTGCTCATAAGGCCGATGCCACAATCATTTTTACTGTATGACAACAACACATTTTCCCATCCTAAAAGACTTCATATTAAGACAATTAGGCAGCGAATTATAAACTTTGCATGAAATTCTGGTGTTTTGTAGTCTACACTCCGACCCATGTTTCGCCCTGTCAGACTCATCTCTCAGACTTTAAACAGTATTTTGTGTCCCAACCGTGTAAGTCATCTAAAAAGCACTTAAACATGTGACAATCCGCACGGAAGCGCATTAAAAGATCACTTTAGGGGTACAAAGCTGTAGGCTACGCTTTTGGTTGCTAGGACGCACTAAAGCGGCTCAAATAAAAACATCACTTCCGTCTGTAAACCTCACCTGAAAAGCTGCTGGTTACCTCTCCTCTACTCCAAAAGTAAGTTTCTGTGAATGTCTTTTTACTACGTTTTTAAACTGTTGAATATTTCTCTGTCATACTTACACCGAGTTGTTGTATGTTGCTCAGGCAGGAGTTAACCCTTTGTTTTTTCTTACATTGCCAACTACTGGTGAATTGTTGCAACAACTAGTTACCGGTCTGACATTTATAGTTGATGATAATGTGAGTTGAACAGATGTGTTTTCAGCCATGTCCAGAATGAAATTTATACAAACATTCATGTTTACTGCTAGTCGGTATTTAAATGCAAAATGTAGTAGACTCACCATGCCTTCATAATAGTCCAAACTGAGTTAGCGATGATTCATTGGATTGATCAGTTCATGGAGGCTCTACCAAAGGCTATTTGTCATTAAAACTAGTGTGTTCAGTAGGTTTGCATAGCCATCCTCAGTGATTGGTTAGCAGTAAAAGCTGAGGCCCTTCTTTCATGGACGGATTATCAAACAGTCTGAATTTTCATAAGGTCACATAAATGATAAAACAATCACTCAAGTTCAGTTTGTGGTCCCTTTTTTCCCCCCAATAGTGTCAACACCAATGAGCTCAATCCAGCAGCCACACCAACACCAGCCCGGGATTTGGCCAGGGCCACAGATAGACATGGCCATATCAGATGTTGAAGCACAGATAGTTCAAAGGGCCCAGATGAATGTTGTGGACCGTCTAAATATGGCAAAATTATTTCACCGATACAGGTAATGACGCCATTATTCTCAGATTTAAAGGCAATGTATTTATGGCAATCTAACTGTACATTCAATTTTATTAATACATTTTCATACTGGCATGTGTCCCCTGTTTTCTACGAATTTCAGTAAAGGCTGTATAACCCTCGGCTCATAGGGTCATTATGAGCCTAGGGTCACATAAACAAATCTTAAAAATGAAAATCATAAAGAGAGGGGGGTCTATTTGCCATTGTAGAACATCTTACCTAAATTCTTCTGCATTTTCAAAGCTTTGCAGCAGTCTATTTTGTTTATCGTTTCTAACATCCTTTTTTTGTATGACTTCTTATCAAACAACACAGGGCTCAACTAAATCCTAATGGATATCCTGTCACTGTAACCTCAGAGCCAGCATCAAAGGAAGAGAAGATCTCCTTAACTGTACATGAAAAAAGGGTGAGATAGTCAGGAATAACAACAAGTGCTTTGGTTCTTACTACTGTAATTTTTATACCATCATCGTGTTCAATTAGGTCAAAGTAGAAGTAAACGCTTTAGATTAATCCATTGTTTTTCAAATGAATTAATTTCTCATCATCCGCTAATTTGAGTATGTGTCTGTAACTGATTTTTATGGCTCTACACATTTTAGTATAACATTATTTCTACCCAACAGACAGTTGTGCCAATAACAGTGAAGAATTCTGGGGGCATAGCTGTTGATTTCAGTCTCCAGGTGTCTGACTTAGTAAGGAACATTTTCACTGTCAGACACTGCCATGGAGGAGTTTTCAGTTCTGCTGAGAAACATACCCTTAAACCAGGTAGGAAGAATCACATCCCTCACCTGAGCTACAGTCAGTTTCCAGTGTTTTTTTTTTTCCCATTGAATCTAAGAGTGACTGAAAAACAAGAATTCACATGATCTGTAATGAATACATTTTCTTGAAAAAAGACAAGTCTCCATGTTTTCAGTATTTTAAAAGCTCATATAACTGCAAATGTACCTGATTTGATCTCCTATTTTCTCTCTTTTTTTCTCTCTCTCCAGGAAAGTCTTTTAAAGTTGAGGTCCATTTTGACTCCGACCATGCAGGTTTCTATGAACAGTTACTGGTTTTTAAGTTTGAAACACATCTGGAAGAATTCGAAATTATGCGCCTTTTAGAAGTCGAACATTTGACATCAGTCAGAGTAAAGCCAAAACCAAAAATGGACCCTGAGCCAGCGCAGAAAGAAGAGGACAGGAGGGGAAGGTATTTCAAGCTACTCTTGAGTAATTATACCAGTAAATAAAATGTGATAAAATTGTGATGTATCGCAGGTTCAAAGTCTGTCTTCAAATTGCTCCCTGTTTTATAAAAAAGTTCAAGTTTACATAAATTATCATGGAATTTAGAAACCTGCGTCTCCATCCTAAATTACACTTCTTTTTGCCCGTTTTCCTTTCAGAAAATATATTAACCTTCTCAAAATTCGAGTTCCTTTGAAGGGATATGCGATACCTAAAAGAGTCAGAAACTCCAGATCTGTTGTAAGGTTTGTATTCCTCAAAGGTGGACACATTTTGGTCAATAAAGTCATTGCAGTCATGTATTAATCATAGAATATGGTGAGTTTGTGGCTTTATGAGCAAACTCATTTTAGGGCTTTGTGTTTAATCGAAGAGCTCTACAGAAAATATGTCTTCTGTAAAATTATGAAAATTTAGAAAGATTTTATTCCCTCACTGACCCAGAAACATTACACAGACAGCACTCATGACAGGACGACTAACATCAGACCAAGTCTCTTCATGACTCACAGCAGAGGTAGTCATCCAGTGGTATCCAACAGGAGAAGCGTTGTTTCCTTCCGCCCAGTTTAATTCTGATTAACACCTGATGCTATTAATCCAAATATCTGCTTTGCCTGTGGAAGTGATGGTGTTTTTTCTTTTTGGGGGGGCTTCTAAAGGGAGCTGCAGACAGATACAACCTGGGAGAACTACGCGCAGAGGTTTCAGTTGCTACTGCATCTTGAAGAGCTTCAGTTGCAGAAAGAAGTTGATATATACTTCCAGGATTCTGTGACCTTATTGCAACACGGAAGCCTCTTTGTCCTGCAGGTGATGCATCTAACAGTACTAAAATCTGTAAATATTGCTCTGAGTGATAGCCGTGGGGCGCAGAATGAGACCACCACTTACAGAGAAACGTCTCTTGTTTTCAGATCCCAGGTCTGTCCAAGGACTCATCTTTGAAGCTGTCTGAGTGCGACGTACTGGTGCATCTTTTTTGGCAGACAGGGATTGATCGTACAGAAACTTTCAAAGGCTACGTCCAATATGTGAAGGCAGAGCAGGTTTTCTTGAGCCTGTTTAAATGGTACTACAGCACGATTGCATAAAATAAGAGGTCTCATGCGTATAAATAAGGAATCCTGTGAGACACTGAACACATTAACATGAAGTATATTTTTCCATATCAGTAAAATCGAAATGCTTCTATCTATCTTTGTATTATTTTAGTCCATTGTAACAAATGTCTTCTTATGAATCTGACTGCAGGCCAATACAGATTGAAGACTTGGAATTCAAAGTGAAGTTCGTCGTCGAACGTTTAACCCTGCGGGTGCAGCACAGAGCATTAGAACAGGCGAAAAAGTTAGACCTGAGTCAGGTGCTGTTCCCTCCAAGCACATTTTCTTCCAGAACGCCACTGCCGTGCAGGTAAGACCACCCCGATATACGTGTTCGACATTTGATGCAGACGTTTCCATCGCCTATTGCTCAGTTTTACCAACCCTCATGTTAGCACTGACTCCTCACAATGACCTAGCTCCTGTGTCTCCTACCAGTCTGCAGGCAAACTCTCAGGGCAGCAACCCAGAGCAGCGCAGGGCAGTTGAACATATCTTAGCAACTACTGCAAAACCAGCCCCTTACCTTGTTTTTGGTCCACCTGGTACAGGTACTCTACATGCATGCGTGTGTGTGTGCATAAATGTCCTCAAATGTGTTTTATTTACTTATAAGAATAATCAATTCTTACATGTCTTGGTCAGGCAAAACGTCAACTTTGGTGGAAGCCATCTATCAGATAGTGACAACCAAGGCCTCATGCAACATCCTGGTTTGCGCTCCTTCCAACAGTGCAACCGACCATCTCTGTGTGAAGATATCTGAGAGAATAGATGATATACGCATAATGTATCGTTTGTATGCCGTTTCCTGTGACCCAAAAAAAGTAACCAAAGAGAGAAAGGTCTGTTTTATGTACTTATTTACTTTTTGACAAACTTGTACTTAAGTAAAACACACATGCTGTTTTTTTCTGAGGATTGTAGAGTAACAGTAACTGAAAATACAATATTATTATGGAGAGTGCTGCTGCTTTCGCATCAAAAGATATCGCCTTTCTTTTCAAGTTTTAAGTCTTTCAATAAATCCTTATCTTGAATTTACTCTTACATTTACTCAAACAGTAAGGTAAACTATGTTTTTTTTTACGCTTCATTGGTTGAAGTGCTATCAGATTTCATTCTTGTAGCTGTATATCTTTGTATAATGTACATTTGTTTATTAACATATGTGCTTAATGGCTCTCTACAGTTTCTCAGCAACCTTGGCGAGAACAGTGTCCCGTATGTACTTCCCTCTGTTCGAATGCTGAAGAGGTATAGGATTATGGTCACTACTCTGCAGACTGCAGCAAGGTACATTACGTTCTATGATGAATCACAACATAGATTCTATCTACAGTATATTGTGATTACTCAACTTCATTTAAATACTTCAACACTGGCATGATGGCAAAAACTTAAATTTTGAAGTAATGATAAGTGGAAATATTTTACTTTTTACATGTTCATATTAAAACATCTTTTTCCGTTTCTAGCGAAATGGTCAAGTCAGTGAAATTTTCTTTGTGCTTATCTACAACTATCTACTATCTGCACTTATCATTTCTATAGTTGAGCAGCACAGTATTCATTTGTGACATTATTACCTCTGTTGCAAGACAGGTATAGAACTGTCATGTGCTGAACATTTCTCATTACAGCAACAGATTCTATTTGATCTATCTAAATTTGTGCTCTATATCTCCATCCATCCCTCTCTTTCTCCAGGCTTGTGGCTGGTCGGTTTCCAGTTGGATTCTACTCATATATCTTTGTGGATGAGGCAGGCCAGGCCAAAGAAACGGAGTGTATCATTCCTATAGCAGGTGGAAAAGACAAGCAGGTCAACACAAAATGTGTTTATCCATCTCCAGAAGGTGTTCCCTTAATTTTCCTGTGTTTACTCCACAGGCTTAATGAAACAGGAGACCTGCCAGGTAGTCCTGGCTGGAGACCCTAACCAGTTAGGCCCTATCATCAACTCCCCGATCGCCGATAAATGTGGTTTAGGTGAGCTCTACAACTAGTTTACACTTCGAATGTTGTACTCTTAAAGTCTTTGAGAGTTACACTGAACTGTCCTTTAAATAAATACTGTATCTGTCAGCACCAACTTCTTGATATCTAAAATGGCTCCATAGCACCCCTACAAAGTTTTGAATGTAATCCCTGCCCCTGTGTGTGATCCAAACCTATGGAATCAATGACATTTATGTTGAACCCCAAGACAAACAAAAAGAGGAGGCGGTCCACAGAGGTGGTGGTGGGACACAGCTCAGGCCCGTTGGTGCCCCACGGGGCGCTAGTATCTATTTCATTTTAAAGAAAAGGTTTGGTCGGAAACAATCAGTCAGTTTTGGCGAGCCACACAACTAGCCAATTACCTGATACTAATTGCAACATCCATGTTCTTCCTGACTTAGCTCCATAGACTAGTCTATGGCTAGCTTTCACTGTCTTCCTTTTGCAAACTTTTGTTTCTTCTACTTTTAGAGGTTTGTTGATCCGTTTGTCAGTTCTTCAAGTCCAACATAACTAGCTGAGTGGAACAAATACTTTGCATGATAATGGTTAGCATGCATGTGTTGTGTCTCTATTGGAGGGAGGATATGCTTTTTTCTCTTATTAGGGAGTTCATGTCACTGCTAGTTTAAGCTCAGTCCCAGAGCCGGCCGGAGCCTCAATGGGGCCCTAAGCAAAATTTGATTTCGGGGCCCTCTATTTCTGCTAATAATATTGATTGTCTGTACAAAAGCAGGATTTAAAAAATGTACTGCTTGCAGGCGTGTCCTTGTTGGAGCGCCTGATGAGAACCAACGACCTCTACATGGCCCATGAGGGACATGGGTTCAACAGCTGCTTTGTCACCAAATTACTGAGAAACTACAGGTGATGCCCAGATGTGCTGTTATGTCTTTGTATCTTATTTTTCAAGTGCTCTTGGCTACCTTGCTAAATTAACATTTTTTTCTTTTACTCCTTACTCTCCATCAGGTCCCATCCTGCGATACTAAAAATTCCCAATGAGCTTTTTTATAGAGGGGAGCTTCAGCCTTATGCTGCTAAAGAGAAATGCAACTCATACTGTAACTGGGAACTCCTCCCCAAGAAGGTGATTTAGACACGAAAGCACTCACACATGCATCTTTATCCCCCCCCCCCGCCCACTCGACAATTTTTTTCTGTTTCAGGGCTTCCCTCTGATCTTCCATGGAGTGGCAGGTATTGAAGAACGTGACCCCGGCTGTGCTTCTATTTACAACATGGCAGAAGTGGAGGTGCTGAAGGAATATCTAAAAGCCCTCGTTGCCCCTGATTGCGAAGCTCGTGTGAACCAAATTGAACCCAATGAAATTGGAATCATTGCTCCATACAGGAAACAAGTAAGTATGTAATAATAGTAGCCTTTGGATATGTCAATAAACATTTTCATGGTACTGCACATCAAATACAGGGACTTTCCTTCCCACAGAGGCAAATCAAGATCTAACTTGATGAAAAATCAGCAGATTAGTCGTCATTTTGTTCTGTCTGTCTGCCAGTATGAAAAAATATTTTTGTACATCTGGTGTATTTCCTTTTATTCTATTGTGCAAGTAGCTGTCTCTACAGTCTCTACAAAATATGTGACCATACACTTCAAAGAGAAAAACTACCTGAAAAATTCCAAAATTTTGCAGGTGGAGAAAATCCAGGAAGCACTTTTGACTGACGAAAAACTTCAAAAGATAAATCTGAAGAACGTGCTGGTATGGAAAAAAGGGATTGCATTATTACCATTAGAAAAAAAAAATCATGAATCATCAAATATCTGTTCATGTTTTTGATAGGTTGGAACAGTGGAGAAGTTTCAGGGTAAAGAGTCCCAAGTGATTATAGTGTCAACTGTACGCAGCCATCGTAAAATGACTGAAAAAGACCAGAGGTTCACTTTAGGCTTCATCAGGAATGAGAAGGTAAGAGCCATTACAGAAACTCCAAACAACTCAAAAATAATATACATTTGTGTAAGATGACCAAGAAAAAAATCTTCATTATAATGAGACTAAATATGATTTTTGAGAAGCAATACTGTCTACAGAGGTACTCAGATGTTTACTGATAAATGCACACTCACTGAAACTGCCTCCTCAGAGATTCAACGTGGCCATGACTCGAGCACAAGCCTTACTGATCGTAGTTGGAGACCCAAGAGCTTTGAGAACTGACTTAATGTGGAACAAGTGAGGCTCCAAATCCACATCGATCTACCTTCTTTCATGAAATAGCAAGTTTTGCACAAATCCTAAATTCCTTGTACATTTTTCTATTTTCTTCGCAGATTCATCCATTACTGCTGCAGAGAAGGGGGTTATAGAGGGATTAGAGTGTCTGATGCAGAGGAAGACTATTCACCAAGCGTCGGGTAATTCATAGAGCAACACATATCTGCACTCACTACAATATTACATGGACTGTGCAATGCTCTGATTTAATTTCCACCTTCCATCTCATAGTGAAGAGTGATCTGCAACAGCGGCCCCCTGGAGGACAGAGCTAACAGTCATCTTTAGCTCACATATTATACCTAAAAAGTGACAATAAAGAACTCAAAACTTGGCAGTACGGTATGTTTTGGGCTTTTATAGGAAAAAGAAGCTCCTTGTATTTTGTTGGAACAAACTTTTTTTTTTAATTTTATGCCTTAAAATGTTTGAACCACATCCTCAGCTCATTGGTAGAACTTTCAATCACAGCCTTTGACTCCTTTTTTTTAGAATTAGTATTGGGAGTTTTCCCAATTGTAACAGATATAGTGTTGACCAAATCAAAAAAAGCAGAAGCACAAATATATAACCAAGACAAAACTCCCTAGAAATTCTAATCAACACAGGGACTTCTGTTCATTTATAACCTTGTCTAAGTTCCTCTACTTTGCCAGCATTTATTGGAGAAACCTCCAAAACATCCCCTGAATATGCTAATGCATTTGTCCGAAGATTCCCCACCCAAAACAAATTTACAGTCTTGTACATGGTTTCAGTTTCAGCAGACATTTTTCTAAATGGAAAATGCTGTGACTCTCATATGTCCATGAATCACCAAGAAAGGTCTTATCACTATGCTGCTGCTTTGCTTTTCCCAGTAGTGTACCGTCATGGAGCACCCTTTATGGGAGGCAGAGCCCCACACTAACTCTTAACTGCAAGCAACACAACCCAGCAATCACAGCAACATCAGATAGTGTGGTCTGTCTCTCTGTGGATGCCCTAAGTTTCTCTGTTCGTCAGCCAAGAGGATAGGCAGCATATCCATTGATACAGACAGCACTTGCTGTGACTCTATTCCCATAAAGTTTCATGCAGCAGCTCTTCAAATAATAACACGTCTGAGCAAAATATTCTCTGTTCTCTGGCCTCTTTGGTTCATCATCTACATGCCTGACAAGCTCAGCTGTACCACTTAGCAATACTATTCTTATTAACTGTGTCAGAAAAATTAAACTGCATCTGACTTGCAGCCAGCTGAGAAGAACGACAGAGATAGTGGACTTCTTTTTCTTGGGTATCTTTTACTTGCAAGGAGTCAGCAGCTTACATCAAAGGCAGCTTCCTCTAACTGAGGAATTCAGATTTTTACACATCCTTTATGCAGTCAAGAAACAGAGTTGGGCACAGGTTGCAGCTGTGGTCTGTACTGGGAAAGAACAAAGACAGCTTAGTTCATCATCAGGTTCCTGCTTATCAGTTCAATCCCACACTGTTGGGAAAACAACCTGTGAGTGAAATTATAGCATTCGTCTAGTTGCATGGCTTCAGTGGAAAAGTATCAGTCCCAACTCCAAGGCCATACGTCTCCTTTCCCATGCTCATTAAAAAGAAACAGATATGACTCTGCAAGCACTCACACCAAGTGAGTTTCAGTAAATGATGATAAACATACTTATATAATGATAAAATACACATGTGATGGCATACACATACAATTTTTCTTTCATTTTCATTGAACTCACAGGTTGTTGTCATTTAATCAGAGCACCGTGAGGCCTAGCTTGATAAGCAGGAACCTGTTGAACCACAGGTCCCTCTTTATTCTGCCGGACAGGTTTGCTACAGCCTCAAGGTTATCACACACTTGGTTGTGTGTCAAGTCCAACTTCTGTCCAGGGTAATCCCTGCCCAAAAAGATATGAATTATACCCTAAAATGTTTAAAAAAAAATTAAAAAAGAGAGAGAAAGAAAGAAAGAAAAAAAACTGTCATCCCAGCGCTGAACTACTTTTCATGTAGGGGAGAGTGGGGTAAGTTGAGCCACCCCCTGTTGCTTGGAAATGGTAAAAGAAATTGATCATGTGACCAAATATTTAGGACATAGGCATAATTCATGGAGTCTGTGAAGGTTAGAAGCACATGGGTGAACATTTTTCACACTTGAAAGTGAATTTAGTCTGTCACAAGTTTTATTAGAATTGTGTTTAGACCAAAAAAGATCATTTTAAATTTGTTTTATACATCAACTGTACATCAACTTATACATCATCTATGAGCTACAACATGAGGTTAAAAACTGAGCATAAAAGTCCACCGTTTTATCTTAGAGGACTAATAAAGTCATCATAGTAGTTCAGGGGTAAGTTGAGCCAGTGGATCAACTAAGAAAGTAAAGAAGTCTGATGAGAGGATCAGAGTTTCAGTTCAGATTGTTGAAATATTTACACTCATTCTGTTGGTTTGCAGGGATTCACAACATCTTGAAATATATGCAGATTCACTAGTTAGAGACAAAATTATGATTGCCTTGATGTAGTGATCCGAAATATGAAAAATGGTTCATCTTACCCAACTCTCCGCTGACCTAAATAAATGTAAAATCTGAGAACTGAAGATTTCTCTGGTTGTCTTTGAGCAGTCACGAAAGAACTGATTCTTACAAGAGTTTAGACTTGTATGTTGTGTCCTCAAGAGTTTCAAGCAAAAACTATTTGACGGGGTGGGGGAGTTGCCTACAGCTCTGCAAACATGAGAAATGAAACTGTGGCAGTCAAACTTATTCTAGAGACTCTTCAATATCTGAACCGGCAGTCTAAAGGTCAAGGGCTCGCCTTAAGCTTTTATGCAACAGATGTTGGCAGGAGGTTTTGCCACCCTGGAGGAATACCTGATGGTCATAAACATCCTTAACAGTAGGACTTCCTTATCCTTCTCAGCATCTTCTTCACCATCGCTTCAATGACCACATTCCCCTAAACTTGTGTTCATTTTCCTACAATCTGCCTCGTAAACAGGCTACAATAACTTTAATTTACTATCGAAATTTGTATTTAAATGACAGAAATATAAGATATTTTTAAGCCCATTAAAATGTTACGAATAAAAGATTTTGTTCCATGAAGGAGACCATTATCACATGTCTTCAAATGACGTGAAGACAGGTGTTGTTTCAGCTGACCAGTTCACTGACTGACTCATCATAATTAATCTTTTAATGACTTTGTTTAGATCCAGTTTCGTTTACTCATTCGGCTCCGTTTCGTTAGGTTTCGTTTCTTCGGACTCTACGACTGTAAGTGTGCACCTATTTTTATCACCGGGGCTGTGCTTTTGACCCGCGGCTGCGCCGTATCATTACACACAGTGACGCCGCCCACTTGGACTGTCCAGGAGTACAAAAGGAGCATTCGTCAGTGTTTCCTCAGAATATCACACCCGTTTATTGCAAAAGTTTAATCTGCGTGTTTCTGCGAATAACCCGGACGTCCTCTTGTTTTATTCCGAAGTTTTCACCATGGTGAATAGGAGATTAGATGTCACTTCACTTTGCCAGATTGGGCTCGATTTCTATGAGTTTTTGAAGGAATCTGAACGAGCATCCATCACAGAGAGACTTGAACTGAGGGCAATTTACGACAGTGAGTTCAGGCGCAGGTAAGTTCATTTACTTCTAACATTGCTGGAAACGTCTTTGAATGATAGATTTACAGTGTTTTCATTTCAATGAATGTGTCTTTCAACAAGGATACCGGGGACCAGAGATCCAAACTTTGGTTCGGTTCTTCATGCTCTGAAAGTGTCGCACAAAATAACAAGAAGGAGAGACCAGATCCGCTTTACTTCCACGGTAATTTTTTTAAACTTGTGATGTTTTTGCTCTCATTTTGTAAAGCAGCAGTAAATATTCCTGTTTTTTAAACGTGAAACAAATGAAGGAGCTCATATAGCCTTCCAGCTGTCTTATTTAACGAGAGGTGGCCCCGCCCCTTCACTGGGCAAGACAAACCAGCTAAGTGTAAATCACTGTAAACAGGTAAAAGCACCTGAAGGGGAAAGATTCAAATAAAAGCTTTTCCTGGTTCTGAAATGTATGTGGAGGCTTTTATCTTAGGTTGGTACAATATGTGATGAAGTGTAGCCTATGTAGTCACAATTATTGAATGTAATTAAATAGAATTTTAAAGACAAATTGTAAAATATTGAAACAATTCCCAGTATTGTCCATGTGGATTCTCATTCATCCAGGTTATGGTTTTCTTGAAGACTCCAAAATCAGGCAACTGGACCGTGTAGAGCTGAGAAGACGTTTTGCCTCTTATCCAAGAAGCTTCTTCAGTTCTAATTATTGCTAGTGTGAGGAGCAGATATTTATCTTACTGGAGAAGGGGACAGACAACGACTGGGAGGAGTTGGAAAGGATGGGTTGTAGAAACCCATCTCCGGGTGTTCCCCGTCGACCCCTGTCATACACCACATTACTCTGTTTATGACCACACCACAATACTCTGTTTATGACCACATGACCCAGGTGGCATGAGTCATGTGATCATAAACAGAGTAATGTGGTGTATGCTGTCCAGTGCAGCGAGGAATGCTCGGACCTGTAAATCGGGGAAACTAAACATCCGCTTCACAAGCGCATCTTGTCTTCTCAACTCTACACAGTCCAGTTGCCTGATTTTGGAGTCTTCAAGAATTCCAAATATTCAGTGTTTACTAGTGTTTCAGTTGACGGCAATGAGTATCATCTTTTCAGAAACAAAAGTTTAGTTCAGACAGAAACACTGGTTGTATGAATCCATCCAATCTTGTTTTGATTTTAAACAGAACTACAGTGCACATACATAAACTTAATTCTGTTTCCTCTCAGCATGTGGATAAGAAACCCTTTCTACTGCTTGAAATGATGATGGGTTTGCCACTACAATGAGTTAATTAAGAAGGACATTTAGCTTAATAATAGCTTTATAATTATGATTAAACTATTATGCAATAATTATAGCTCGATAATTATAATTAAAGATTTTAGGACAAACCTGACAGGAGATGATCCTCTGCACAGGTCAAAGCTTTCTACGTGGATCAGTGGTATACACGCAGTGGCCCTAGACCACCGCCCGTCCAGCGTGGTGCAGCTAGTCCACAGAATGACCAGAATATCATCTCTGGAGATGAAGCACAAACAGGAGTTCGAGCTCGGAGGAGACTGGCCTGTCTTCTGAAGGACAGCCTGAGGGGAAACAGGTAAAAAGACAACATTAGTAGAGATATATTGATCTGATTTTCTGCTCACTTTAGCTTTTCTTTGGGTGTATAATGTTTTAATCACAGCTTTTCAATTATCCCTTAAAATGAACAGTCCTCTTCTTTTTACTCTTATCTGTCATGGTCCCTGGCATTAGTTTCTCTACAATCCAAGAAAAACAGAATATATTCAAGGGGCCAAACTCTGAATTTAGCTCTTGGTTTCTTTAATCACACCCACTTGGATATAATGTACCATAAAATTTTGTCTTTGCACCCACAGGGCCCACTTCATCTCTGACAAACGTGGGATCTGCATCAGCTCAGACCATCAGTTTGACAATGGCACCCTCTGCTTGCATGTGGATGAGACTTGTGAGGTATTGATTTTATTGAAATCAGGTGCCTGATCAGATGAACTTCATGCTGTTTTTGTAACAAATGTAAGGCGCCACTGCACATATCCCTTTTTTTCTTTCTTTCTAAACAGTACACAGTGAATCTGAAAGTGCAAAACATTGGATCAGAACCTGTGTATTTCACCTACTACACCCCGCTGCACTGGCTCAGATACTTCACACTGAAAGATGAGAAAAAAGTAACCAAGACAAACCCTCTGTGTCTTCAACCAGGTAATTTAAACTGAGACATTAATGTCTTTAGAGATCAATAATGGACAAAGTTATTCAACAAGATAAAATGATAGAAATAACCTTCATTTATACAGAAAACATGCTAACCATTTTGTTGTTTTCGTGTTTGCAGGTCACAGCTATGACATCCAGGTTATTTTCTCCTCCAGTTTAGTCGGCTTCTATCCAGCTGCACTCGCATTTGAATTCAAACCAGATATTCTGCCTTCCACTGCTGCCTTCCACATCGTGCGCTACATTCAAGCTCAGTGCATAACTGCCTTGGGACTAGAGCTGGCACCAATAGCCCCCTACAAACCTCGCGCGCTTCCTGCTTGGACTCCAGCAGTTGATTACACCATCGTGGATGGACAGCGACCTGAGGGGTAGGACTGTTCGCTCAACAGTTAGATGCTGTAAATTTTTGTGTGATGTTTCTAACCTTGTGCATCGGATCTCTTTTTCCAGCCTGTCAGTGATGCAGCTGAAAAATGTGGTTGAGCTGAATCAGTACCGAATCCCAGCGTATTTGGACCAACTAATCAAGTCACTGAAGCAAACTTCTTTCTCCTCCGATAGAAGGTAAATTCAGTTCAGTCATTTCCTAGTTTAGGTTGGTAGTGAAGGAAAGGACATGTTTTATGAATACCTACACTTACTGAAAGGTTTTCAAGTTCTTGTTGTTCTGAGAATGTTTTATCTTCTTTGATCGATCCAGAAAGAGCGTACTGGAGAATGACTTAAACTGGGAGAGCTACTGTGAGAAGTTTCAGCTGCTGCTGTTCCTGGAAGAGCAACAGATGGAGGTCGACATCAAGAGATACAACATTCCCAATGACGACAAGGAATTCGCCACCATGACTCGTGATCACATCAACAAGAATCTTCTTGTACTTGAGGTCAATATTTGACTCACCCACAAAATCAGTCATCTTCAGACTTTCTTTGACTTGCAGGAGGAGATGTGTTAATCTTTAATACTTGGCAACACTACAAAAAGAACCTCAACTTGCAGTATTTATTCATGCATATTTATTAATACATGTTCACCTGGCAGGTTCCTGGTGTCTCTGAGAACCGCCCATCTGTGCTCAGAGGGGATGCACTGTTGGCCTATCCTGTCGGAGAATCAAAGGTGAAGTACAGGGGCTACGTCCACAGTGTGCAGTTGGACAGTGTCAAACTCGGCTTCAGCTCAGAGTAAGCCATCACGTTACTTTAATACACAAATATATCCTCATTTCTTTAAGTGCTACTGAACATTTTTGTAACCGAGATTCACACAGTTTGGATTTTTTTTTTTGCAGGTTGATGTCTCGTTTTATAGACGGCATGAAGTTCCATATAGAGTTCACCGTAAACCGCCTGACTGTGCGCGTTCAGCACAGAGCAGCAGAGTTGGCAGCTAAATACAACCTGAGAAATGTGTTGTTCCCTTCTGCAGGCAGCCTCTCCTCCCTGCAACCTGAGCTTCCCCGGTTAAGGTGAATCATACTAATGTTCTGTACCATTGTAAACTCCTTATTAATTGAATGTAATGAGTCAGCTTGCATAGATGTCTGTGGGTCCAAATATTTCTGCAGGATTGAGGAAAGAAGTGGTTTGAGGTGCTACAAGTTTCCACCAGCTTACATAGACACTTCAAACTGCACGAATGACTACTTATTGGTCTTATTGTGGATAAACTCCAAACAGAGCTGTATTGTTGGATTAAACTCCAATAAATAAGCAGAACAAGAGTTATACTTTCTCATTTGTAAGGTAAAACTTTTGATATTTAAAGCTTTGGCCCAACACTAGGTACCTGGATGATAGTATTTGATTTGATTGCTTATACTAGGGCTGGGCGATATGGCCTCAAATCAATATCACAATAAATTGAGCAGTTTAATTCGATAATGATAAATGGACGATAACTAATCCACAAACTGCTCACCACCTCCCACATTGACTTCATCTACCTCAGCCGCCTCTCCAGCCGTTACAACTTTTGAACCGCCCTCCATCTCCTCACCTGTCTTTCCCCCCTTTGTTAAGGACCAGATGGGGTGGAGTCATGTCCCCAACGTAGGACAGCGTCTTTATGGGACATGAGACCATAGCCTACCTACACACATCCAAAACCAACTTTTATTTATTTATTTATTTATTTTATGGCACCGAATATACCGACATAGGCAAAATGATGTTGGTTATTGTCGTAAATTTCAGTATCTGCAACTTTTCGATTTATCGCCCAGCCCTAGCTCATACATGTAATGACAACCTTTGACCAAGCTCTGACATCATAGTCCCTCCCTCCCTCTGATAGGCTGTTTGACTCAAAGCTGGAGAGAAACCCAGAGCAGTACAAGGCTGTGCAACACATTGTTGCAGGCTCATCCAAACCGGCCCCTTATCTGGTGTTTGGCCCACCTGGAACAGGTACGGCGATTAATTATCTGCATATCAGTCTCTCAGTATTCAATGCAGACGCACTGTTTTAGCTCTCAAGGTTTGATCTGCAATGCTACCAAACTCCTTCTCTTCAGGGAAAACTGTGACTGTGGTGGAGGCCATCAAGCAGATAGAGAAGAGAGATGCCTCCTGTCACATTCTGGCCTGTGCTCCCTCTAACAGCGCTGCAGATCTGCTGTGCAAGAAGATCCTGGATCATGTGGACAGGAATAAAGTGTACCGCATGTACGCCAGCAGCAGGGATCCACGTTATGTCCCAGACGAGATAAAGGTCTGTGCAGATGTATTTGCTGCATCAAGTTTGTTTCAGCAGTTGCATTACACCCCCCTAGTGGACTTGGGGAGAATAACATGAAAGGCAAAATGAACCAAGCTGCCGCACTTGCTTTTAGGTTGCATTACCTGTTTCGTATGATTTGAATACTTTTGTATTATTAAGCCTCACAGAGTTTGTGTGCATGAACACTGTTGTGCTTTTACAGGACTGCACTAACCTGGTTGGAGAGTGTTATGTTTTTCCTGCTAAAGAGAAGCTGATGGAGTATAAGATCATGGTCACCACTCTGTTAACCGCTGGAAGGTAGACTGACAGTAGAGTTTGTTTAATCTGCATGACACTAAGAAAATCTGTGACAACATGCTATTTGGAGACGTTTTTATTTTTATTACTAACTGTCAGTTCTTTTAATGATCTCCTGTGGCATTAAAATCTGTTTTACCCTCTGATGCCTGCAGGCTAATCTCAGGATCCATCCCAGCTGGTCATTTCACTCACGTGTTTGTGGATGAAGCAGGACATGCTATCGAGACTGAATGTATCGTCCCTCTTGCAGGTGAAGACAACCAAAGAACAGACCTTCTTTGATGACTGAGCAGAGCTTTTAAGTGTTAATTAATATTTTCTTATCTCTGGGAAATAGGGCTACTCTGTGCAGAGTCTGGTCATGTTGTTCTTGCTGGAGATCCCAAGCAGCTGGGGCCCATTCTCAGATCCCCCTTTGCTCAAAAATATGGCATGGGTGAGAACAGCTGACTTAATCATTTAGTCTTGTTAGTAATGCACTTTTAAAAAAGACATACTCAGTTTTCACGGGTGTTATAGTCTTGGGGTTTAAAGGCTCTTTTTGCTGCAGGGGTTTCCCTTCTGGAGCGACTGATGAATAACTTCCCTCTGTACCAGAAAGTCGAGGTTGTGTTTGACAACCGATTTGTCACCAAGCTGCTGCTCAACTACAGGTGAGATAGTAGAGACGGTTATGGATCATACTCTGATAATATATATGTATTTTTTGTTCTTCAATCTCTGATTTTTCTTCCTGTCCTATCTTTCTCCTTCTTCAGGTCCCATCCTGCCATCCTGGAAATTCCCAATGAGCTCTTCTATGATGGAGAGTTGCAGGTTTGCGCGGATGAAATGTTGCGCAACTCCTACTGCAGATGGCCATACCTCCCAACGAAGGTAATGATGCTCCTTTAGCACATGCATGTGAAACTGATTCTTTAGGAGTCAGAGACGGAAAAGTTTAAACTGATACAGCTTCTGCAGCTTAATCCGCAGTTACTTTTTTCCTGCGTACTTTAAAGTTGCCATTTTTATTTTAAGAGAATTGAAACAATAAGATTGAACACTTTAGTGTATCAACGGAAATTAGGTTTGTGACTTTAGACCTGTAAAAGTTAAAAATCCTGCCTAGATACCAGGGAAAATATTATTTCCACATCACTGCCGAACAGTTTTATGACAAGTTTTATAAAAAATATGTCGTTTTTTCTAATATTCTAAAAGTTTAAGTGCATCTTAAATATCTTACAGGACTTCCCTGTGATCTTCCATGGTGTGACGGGTGTCGATGCACGTGAAGCAAGCAGTCCTTCATTCTTCAACGTTGCGGAGGTGGAGGTGCTCATGAGCTATGTGAGGAAACTGCTGGAGACACAGGGCAAGAGTCAGGGCACACTTGCACCCAGAGACATAGGCATCATCGCCCCCTACAGGAAACAGGTCAGAATGAATTTAAGTGACACAGTTAAATAGCAGAGCTCGTTGTTTCTATGTACATGAATATTGAAACTGTTATCTCTGGCTGTAACACAGGTGCAGAAAATCCGAAGGGCTCTGGAAAAAGTTGGGAAGGACTTCAAATTTAAGGACATGAATGGCCTTAAGGTGACAGAATATTCATGAACAAGTAATGTGATACAGCAGGAGTAGTTCTGAAGTCTAAATTGATGTATTTGTGTCAGGTTGGTTCTGTGGAAGAGTTCCAGGGTCAGGAAAGGAAAGTGATGTTGGTGTCTACAGTCCGCAGCAGCCCTGATTACGTGGAGATTGACCAAAAGTTCAACCTCGGCTTTGTGAAGAACGAGAAGGTCAGCTTAAATTATGACATAACAAATGCCATCACTCTTTCTGATACATTAAACACATTATTCTGACACTCTGCTGTTTTGTTCAGAGATTCAATGTAGCCGTGACTCGAGCCAAAGCTCTGCTGATCGTAGTGGGAAATCCACGAGTGCTGAACACAGATCCCACCTGGGCCCGGTATGTGTCATACGACTAACATAAAAACAGAAACACGAATTGAAATTTAAAGTTTAAGAGTTTTAGACATTTTTTTTTTATCTGTGTGTGTCTCCAGGTTCATCCAGTACTGCCAAGATGAAGGAGGCTACACTGGGTTTGTCCCCTCAGAGGAAGAGGAGGATGTCGTGACAAGACTTGCTGCCCTCTACATTGAGATTGAGGCTCAAGGTAACAGACCCAGATCCTTGTTTTGATTTATTCTCTCTTTGAATTGATGTTAAAATTTTTCTGTCTTCTTTTTGATTAAATTTTCTTGCTAGTGGTGACTGCTGAGAGTGTCGTTCAGCGGCACCTGGACCCTGAGTGGAGAAGTGACCTTTGAGTGAAGGGAACTCAGACTTCAATCCAGAGCACTTGAAGGGATTCATCTTGCTCTATATTGAGTATATTTCTATCCTGGAGGCTTGAGGAAAAAGTTTCCAAATACTTTCTACACTTTTCAAACTCCCAGAAAAGGCTTTAAAAGGAACTTGTAGACACTGTCAGTTTTATTTGTCCTCTAAGAAGATTGTAAATATTAGCTTAATCACAGCTCTTTTTAATGTCAGCTACATGAAGTTAACCAAAGATGCCGAATGTCAGGGAGGTAAAACATGTTTGGAGCAGTTTGTCTTCAGCTACCTCAGTGATTTGTACCATAAACACTTTTGTGACAGCAGCAAACCTAATTATTCAGAGACAGTACATTTGCTTCAACTAAATTCTTTCTTCTTATATATTTGTATATTACCAACAGAGAATATGGTGTCAGGTTTATTATGTTATGCAACTGAAACTCTTTTCACACAGGCACTGCACTACTGAATTTCCTAACTGTGAACATTGATATTTACATTTTTAAACCAACTTTATCAGCCCTTTTCCTGCCAGCGCACTAGTAAACACCTGTCAGAGGTCAGGGTGAGCTGATGTGAGAGCATGTAACAGTTGGAAAATTTCACCCCTCCTGAGGTGTGCAGGACAACGGCATCGTTCACACTGAGACAAGTTTATCTGCTCAGTAGTCCTGATATTTTCATACGTCTTGTACAGTTGTGAGTATCGAGGACACATCCTAACAAATGTCAGAGCCAAACTGAGCACATTGCATCTGTGAGGTGCGTTTTTGAGTTGCAAATTCATGAAATATAAGGACCGAAGAATCTCAGCAGTTACCTAGAAAATGTGAGGAGTCTGTGTGAAAGTGGCCTTAAAATACCTGAATCTGTTCTACCAGCATCAATATCACATTCACCTAGTTATGTTGTTGTTTCTTTTTTCAAGTTCAGCAGTATTTGAAGTCTTCACATTCCTGTAAGATTATCACGTTTAATATAAGATTTTTAATGGCATCTACTAAATTAAAAATCACCAAGATCAGTTTCAACCACTGTATTTGTGTTAAAACCATAGAGTGTATATAGAATGGACGCCGTCTGCCTCCTCGATGGGTGAAGCTACCACGAGAACAGCACCTTCTGGTGACGGGCTGCAGTATAGGTCATAAATCCCGCCTCCTCCAGCAATCCCTATGGGGCTGTGGACAAACTTTAGAAACTTATTACACAGAATATAAACCTTTCTCCCCCCTGGCTGCAATGTTGACATGTAGTTATTGTAAGACTGGTTTGTGCTCAAGTCCTCTTTTTTTCTGTACAGCTCCGTTTTTAAAAGTTATTAGGGGGTTCATGTTTTCTATGATTGACACTTGATACAGCCTGTGGACATACAAAGTTTACGTAGCTCACCCGGGGGATACGTCGCTTGAACCCAGTGTCATCATAGCGACTCTCCCGCCGTATGCGTACAACGCTAAAGCGCAACGTTGGTTTCAGGAAGTGGAGAAAAAAATGCGGAAATACCGAAAGAAATTCGGCTTCAAATTCGTGTAATGTCGGAAGGTGGAGCCAAATTGTCCATAGTATATACAGTCTATGGTTAAAACAAACTATTATAAAACATCAAAAGAAGGCACAGTAAATGTCTAAACCTTTGTTGTTATACTAGACAAACCTGAGCTGGAAATTGTTTGAATCATTTGTTGTTTTTTTGTCTCAGATATTTTATGAAGTTGTCGTTTTGATGGATATAAAATGAATCCAAATGCACTAAAAATAAATTAAAAAGCATCTCAAATGTGGGTTATGTTTCCGGAAGCACTCCAAGTTACATTTCTGTAGTATTTCAAAAATACTTTATTAACATGTTTGTCTCATTCAGACATTCAACACACCTCACCCCTGTTTGAAAAGTGTCATCAACATTTTCTCTTCAACTAATGTGTTTCAACATAACAAAGAGGCACTGTGCAGGATTAGCCCAAGCTGACAACATTCAGATCACTCTGGATCTTAAGAGAAAAGCTCACCACAGATGTAGCTTATGATGGTGGTAAGATCAATGCTGGAACCGTCGAGTCTGCTCCGATACTGTTTGTTCAGGGCTCAAACACGAGCATGGCCTATTTTATTGTACATACCACATCACAGACACACACACCAACTGCTTTAGAGGACTACCTGGAAGACGATGAACTTCCTTCGATGATTCTGACACAAGAACACAAATGGAAATGACTGTTTTAAACTATTTTGGCCATAAAGTCTGCTCTCTGGGGTTTCTGTCTTTTTGTTCACGTCACCTGTTAATAAAGAAAACTAAGCATTTCGCTGCAGATGTTTAAGGTAAATACACACTCTGTTACTTGAGTTTTAAAGGCTACTAATCTAGCACTGCACTCAGATATTCAAGCTTTCCAAACATCTTTCAAGGAATGTTCCTACTGTGCCAATTAAAGGCCTGATACACAGTTAAAGCCCTGATTTGAACTCGGAGAGAAAACCTAGTAAACTGACTGAAGAGACTGCATCTGGGTTAAAACATCAAGCAGTCAATAAAGATGTCAGCTGGATTTTTGGACCTGTTATTTGCTTGAAAATAAATGTGGATGCACTTGGCGTGCGTCTATTATGTTCCCGTTGTGCACAAACCCTTAGAAAACCGAAAGCACAGCGACACATTATGACTGCATACTGGATGTGCACCAGCTGTGCAGAGTTCAGACAGGAGGCGGATGGTTACGTATTGCTGAGAGGCGAGTCTGTCAGGTTCAGTGCGAGTGTGACAGAATTCTATGTGACAATAGACCTCTGTCTCCAGTGCCAGTTTAAGCCATCTCCGTGGGAGGGAGATGGAGGTGCAGTCCAAACCTCTCCACACTGGCAGTGTGCGGTGCAGCAGTTATTATGGGTTTCAGTGGATTTTCAAAGTGAACCGAGCCAAAATTAACCCCATCATGTCAGATGAGACATGATGAAGAGGAAGAGGAAGAAGCTATGGTGACTCAGCATTTTAAGTGAGAAGACCTTTAAAGGTTTCAAGGTAAAAATGAACCAAAATGTAGATGGATCATTGATGAAGATATAGTGATAACACTTGTGTAATAATATTAATGTTGAAAACCGTTAATGCAAAACTAAAAATTCACTTGAGGCTGAGAGCGGAGAAGAAGACAGCGAGCAGACGTGCGATAAAAACCCCTTCTCTGTAAACAATCACGACAAAGAGGCGGATGCATGATATATTTGTAAAGTATATGCACATATAAATACAAACATACATTCGTATTGGAAGAGGGGGCGGGTCCTTCACTCATACAGGCTGGTGTGCTGGTGCAGAAAAAGGAAACAGAAAACCTCAGAAATTAAACCTTGTGTGGGAAGTAAAGGAAATTAACTTTTTCAAAGAAGGAGGATTTGTTTTGCTTTTAAACAGGCGTGTCAGTCTCATATTCTCCTGTGGTGTTTCTGCATCTGTGAATTAAGTATAGTCCACGGAAGCCATTGATTTTAAGGTTTCTCTTAAGTTTGCCGTTTGTGGAAAGAAGGGAGTCCACCCTCAGGAGCTGACTGGGCCACAAACCCCGCCCCCCTCACAGTAACTGGCAGCCGCCCCTCTTCTTGCGTTTGCGGACCTGCAGTGCTGCTCTGGTGGCCATCTCGAACACCTCCCTCACACCGTCCTTGGTCTTGGCCGAGCACTCCAGGTAGCCAAAGGCACTGATGCGGTTGGCCATGTCTCGAGCCTCCTCGGCCTTAACAGGCTCCTAAAAGTCCAGAACACAAACACTGGGTTGAAATGATGCGATGGATCTAAAAATTAGAGTCCGATTGGTTAACCTTACACTTGACAGAGTCACTGCGAGGTAATCGCACAAGCCAAACATTATCATAACAGGTGAGATTGGTTGAAAGGTTGACAGAAATTTTATTGATCCTGTGAGGGGCAATTCTTTTTGCAGGAAGCAGTAATAAGAGAGAAGTACAATAAAAAAAAAACACATAGTAAACACTCATTCACATATTAATAGATGGTGCACAGATTTTGAGGATGGCAAGTCTCAACAAGTTGTTGATAAAACCAATGGTCACAGGGACAAAGGAATTCGTATGCCTGTTGGTTCTGCACTTCGGTACGGTGTACTGGTGACCAAAAGGAAGAAGTTATACCCAACGTGTAGCGGGTGGCTGGGGTTGGCCAGTATGGCTCTGTACAGGGCTGACAGGTCCGCAAAGTGAACTCCAGCATCTTGCTGCAAACTTTTGTGATTCTGTTCAGTTTTTTTTAGCCTTTATAGTGAGGGATCCAAACCAGCAGAATAAAACATTTTCATAAAAGAGGAATCCACATTAAAACATCTCAATTTACGATAAAAATAAATGCGCTGGTGGACCTTAGCACACACCTCATCAGTGTTTGACAAATTGTCAGATTGCGGTCAAGAATAGTGCCCAGATACCCAAATATTTATACTGTGTAACAGTTTTGACCCCCTGACCATGGATAAAAACAGGGTAAGAGGGTGAGATCTTCTTTCTAAAATCAATGATCATTTCTTTAGTTTTAGTTTATTACATTATATATGTAATGAAAACGGATAACAATAACAAAACAAAATATATGTCAGGCAAAAAAAGAGATATCACCATGTATGGTCCAATCTACTGGTTTACAAAGTGGGGGAGTGACTGTCCACGCATACCTGTTTCATCTTGGCCAGCTCTCGGCGTGTGTGCTCATCATTTCTCAGGTCTTTCTTGTTGCCCACGAGGATGATTGGGACGTTGGGACAGAAGTGTTTTACTTCAGGCGTCCATTTCTCAGGAATGTTCTCTGCAAGAATGGAAAAAAAAAATTCAAGAGTTTGTCTCTGCGCAGAAAGTTCCTGACTTTACTCCCTACAAGGACAGTTGGGAGAGGCCAATACTGTTCCCTCGTGACTGTACAGACATAAACATTCAGGGGTTACTGACCCCTCCCTGAAACATGGTCCACTCGCCAAAATCTGTGCTGTCTAGAGGGAGATGCCATGCTGTGATAGAGGAGGAAAACCATCTGTGGCACTGCCCAGGTCAAAACACTGTGAGAGAGAGCCCTGAGGATCGAGTCTATCTAAACAAGACATTTTCCTCAAGAGCGTGTGGACATACTTCAGTATTAGCTGCTCCCAGAAACTGCAGACAGATTCTGAAGCTCCTAGACGACATTAGGTTTGATTAAAGGAATACTTCCACATTTTTTCAAATTGTAATAACTAAATATGGAAACCAAAAGAATTTCAAATAAAGATGCGGAGATTCAAAAGAGTAAATTCAAAAGAGGTCGAGCATTTGTTTTATTTTGTTTTGTCACAACTTCTGAATTATTCATTTAAATTGTAACCAAGCAACATCATGCGTGGAACCACTAAATTTACTTAAGCTGGTCATTTACTCTTAATAGTGCACTGCACACAGGCAGCTAACAGGACTGTAGTGACAGATACCTTTGGTGCACTGGGGGACAAGCGCACCTTGAAGCAGAAAATGTGCACATTTAATGAAAGACTTGCTAAACACAAGCATGCAAAAATTAGATAATTAATAGAAAGTTGGTCTTTTCTGATGATTCCAACTTGTAGAGATCAGCTTCAGCCAGGCTAAGTAGGTGAGCAGTAAATCCAGACTTACCTAAACTGTCTGGACTATCTATGGAGAAACACATGAGGATGACGTCTGTGTCAGGGTAAGATAGTGGCCTCAGTCTGTCATAGTCTTCTTGACCTGCTGTGTCCCACAGCGCTAACTCCACCTGAAACAGAAAGAAACAAAGTCAAAAAACTGACTTTTCACTTCACAGTTATCAAGAGGTAAGAAACATAAAAGAAAAAAAGAAAAAAACAGCATTTAAAAGATTAATTCCTCTCAAGCCTAAAAAGCTACTCCCAGAGGAGGACAGGAATCCCACGGGCTTCTCTTAGGCTGTTAAACTTTAGTGCCTGACCTGCTCCAGATAAAACAAACTCCTAAAAAGTAACTCGGCCTGAAACAGAGGTGGCAAACACACAACAGCTCCATAAAGGACTGTCCTGTACTCAGTGGCCCAGAAGTGTCATTGCATGAATACATCATGTGGCATGTGTTCAAGCCTCTTAGATTTGGTCTTGGTCCTCCACCCTGTTGACTTAACTGTACCGTAACCTCACCCACATTACAATCCCAGCTGGAAAACTGTGCCTCATACAGACCCGAGTCAGTTTAAATGGTTTTGAGTGTCCACCAGAGAGCAAGTGCAGTATTCAGGGGATTCATCTGGACGTTTCTGATGCCTCCCTCCTCTCATAGACCGCCAGGTGTTGCTGGTCGGCTGACCATCTGCTTACCTTGGCGGGACTGGATGGTCATACTGTTTTCCCACCTTTCGTAGACATTTTTCGTCAGTAAATAGAAAAAAGCAGGCTGAGCTGCACCTGAATACGGACCCTATCTTGAAAAACCCAGCAACAGCTTTGACCAGCAGGGGTCTCTCAGGAGTCGGCCTGCCCAGCCCTCTTTTGCATTTTTTAAAACAACTTCAACATGATCCAAGAATGACGATAACAAGGGAGAAGTTGATTTTCAACACCAACAATAATCTGTTAAGTATATTTCACTCCATCATACATTGTTTATGTGTGAGAGAAGCTTGGAGGAGAGTCAACTTTGTAAAACACAGCGCAGGAAACAGGAGAAGGAAAAAGGACATTAGTCATGATGTATGAGGTGGGATGAGGTGTGTGTGTGTGTGTGTGTGTGTGTGTGTCTATGTGCGTGAGTGTGCGTGTAGGAGAGGGTTCAGCCAGGCAGGAAGGTGGCACTGATCTACTTCCTGTTATTGGCTGGAGGTCTGCTGCTTTATAACAATAGATTACCCAAGGATAGTTCACAACAGGCACTTATCCCTGTCAGCGTGTGGTTCTCACCCACCGGGGCCAATGGGGTCATATTTAAAACACGAGGGCAACAATTTAACTGTGAGTTAACGATGAGTGAAAGACACACTTAAAAAAAAAAACATTTGGACTATTTTTAAGTACAAGACCTTCATTTAAACCCAGCCTGTCAAAGTAAAACAGATTGGTGAATGGACTTCTGAAGCACTTTTCTCGTCTTTCTTAGCACTCAAAAAGCTTTTACACTACTTTTCACATCCACCCATTTAGATTGTTTTTATACACTGATGGGAGAAGATACTGTTGTCTGAGACCATCCACATTATCTCATTCAGGTTATACACATTCAAACACACCAGGAGAAATTTGGGGTGCAGTGTCACCCAAGGACCCAGGGATGGGATAGTTTTTAACATTCTTGGTGCAATCAATTTGATTTTAAAAATTAGTCTGATACTTCATCCTAAGTACCCCAAAATGAGTCTGAATTCAAACTCGGAAACTCGGAAACTTCATAATCATTGAGCCCAAAATCAAAGGTGGTTGTGACCTTAAAACACCCTTGTCCAACAACATCCAAAAACCTAGACTGTGGCTCCAGATAAGGTCTTGTCTTAGTCTGTGTTTATGTCTTTTCACAGGTTTTCCACCCACAGGATATTATCCTACACTCTTGGATGGAGGGGGCGCTTAATACGTGACCTCTCTCTTTTAAGATTAAGTACATAAGTAACATCAACAAAAGGTATTTATTAGGGGTGGGAATTATCACGATACTTGTGCCACAATATGATATTATTGCTATTTGTAACATTTTGCAATGCAGTGAGCATTGCGATACGATATATTGTGATTTATACAGTTTTTTCAACTGTTTAGCTAATTTGGCATTTGTCTTTCCTTTATGTTTGTCTTATTTACACTGTATTTTATTTTCATGTAGCACATCTTGCAAACCTTATGTGTCAGGTCCATCTCATTTGTGCCCTGCTTGTATTCCTAATGTCCTTCCCCAGGTGCTGCTGTATTTGTTGCACTTTCTCCTGCTCTATGATGTCACTTCTGCTAACCTCACTGGACAAAGTTAAATTTATTTTTCCATTACCATAGATTTGACTTCATATTATATTAACAATTGATTTGAAAAAATTGATACTTGGTAAATGAGACGATACGATATATCACCAGATAAAATATCGCGATACTATACTGTATTGATTTTTTCTCCCACCTCTGGTATTTATACATTTAAAGAAAAAAGTGTCTTAATCAAAAATTCTTTGAAATCCTGTTGAGTAAAACAAGTTTGCCAGCTTGTACGCATCTTAATAATGTGAAAACTAGCTTAGACTTAAGTCTAAAGTAACTAACCTGGTAAATTTTTGATATCAGTTCAGTATACATAAGGTTTGTCAGCACTGTACCTGAGACAGTAAAAGGTAAATGCATCAAACTAAAGGAAAAGAAAGTACCTGTTTGCCGTCAACTTCAATGTCAGCAATGTAGTTCTCAAACACAGTCGGGACGTAAACCTCTGGGAACTGGTCCTTGCTAAAGACGATGAGCAGACATGTCTTCCCACACGCTCCATCCCCAACAATCACCAACTTTTTTCTGATAGCAGCCATCTGCAGGACCAAGAGAAAACATTTAGTTCATTTTTGTCTGTGGGATAGAAATGCTTTTTAGCTAGACGGAGGAGGGAGGAGAAACAATGAAACCAGAAATAGTCAAGAGTGGGAACGACTGAAAAAAAAAAAAAGGGATGATGGAAGTGTGCTTTAGAGCCGCACCCTCTTCCTTTTCCTGGGCTGCGTCCTGTGTGTGAGGTGAAAAACAGAGTAGTCAGTGCTGGTCTGGGAAAAGCAGTGAGGAAGGGAAGAGAGCCACAGTATGTGGAGCGGGGAGGCTGCAGCAGCAGTTTTTAACGTGTTTAACAAACACGTTAAAAACGATCTGAAGTGCGTCGTTTTCAGATCCCTGTGGCCATATATGCTACAACCACTCCTGGTTTTTCTCTGCACCCCTGTATTTTGACCCACTCCACTGTGCTGTGAAAGGTGCATGCACAGAAGTGAGTGAATCATACCTTCCCAGAAAAGACACACAAACACACAGGGATCAATAGCCATCTCCCACAAGCTGACAATAATGGAGAGGAGGCAGTGGGTGATGAGACAACATGCTGGCTGTCTGCCAGCTGCTCATCTTTCTGCAAACATCCCTTTTTAATAGTTTGATGATAACATGAAGATTAATTCAGGATCTCTACAGGTTTCAACAAGTCAAATTTGAGACTTTAAGACTTTTTAAAGACCGCAATGAATACAATCTAAGACCTATTTCCCATCCATACTGGCAAAAATGACAAAAGGCATGAAGGGAAATCAGAACGTTTTACGTTACCTTAAATCAATCTTTATTCCTACAGCACATTATTTATTTGTAAGTAGAGTTAATACATATTTAGGACCTTTCAAAATTATATTTAAGACATTTCATGAGATTTTTAGACATTTTTAGGACTTAAATTCAAAGGATTGGATTTTGGACATGTTAAGACTTTTAAAGACCCAGTGAATACCCTATTAATTGCACAGATCTAGAGCTGTAATCACCAAAGAAATTCATTGGTCAACTAAAACCCTGAAATTTTCAACTAAAATTCGACCAAAAATTGGTCCGACTCCGACAGCAAACCCTTCTGCTGCAGGGGAAAATGCGGCTTGGTGGGGCGGAAATATACTAATATCAGCATAAGAAGGCAATTAAACACAAAAGGCTAAAATATGAATATTCAACAAACCACCAGACGTTGATATACGTGGACGCTCTTTAATCTTCCTGTCTCCAGTGGGTTGGGCGAATCCAAAATGGTGAAAACAAGGGGGTTGCTCTGAGACAGGCTGTTACCTGTGAAACATGGTGCTCTGAAAACACCCCCATTAGCACTTGGAATGTTCCTCCTGATTAAATCAACCATAGAAGGTAACTTGACGCGGAAAAAAATCAAGTTCACCAATCATAATTTTGGTCGACTCAGTACATATCGACCAATACGTCGACCGGTTGACTAGGAATTTACAGCCCTACACAGATCCATGGGTTAACTTGCATTTTAGTTTTGTTTTTTTTACCCTCTCAGTATAAAGGAGAAAGATGAACTGAGCAACTAGCTGGTGGAGCATCCAGGAGTTGGAGAGTTGGATATTTTCCTCATGACCAAAAACAGAGCCTAAGAGAGAGCAACTTCTGCCAGGAGGCTGTAAACAGGAGTCTAGGAGATAGATGACAATGATGCTTCGTGTACACAAGAAGCAGGAGCCAACAAGCTTTCAGAATTAACCTGAATGTTGTCCAACATCTCTGTTACTAATCCTAACATCTCAAACAGGAACTCTCTGCTCTAAGGTGGTTTAAGTTTTGCAGCACGTGTGTTTAAATGGTCAGCCCTGGTCTGAGGTGTGAGTCCACATCCCTCAATCGCAGTAATTCCCCCCTCCTGGATTGGTTTCTGTCTTTTCTTCCTTCACTAACTGTTACAGCAGCTACCATTTTCACCACAAGAATCAAAAGACAATTGTTCAGATTGCTTTTCTCTCCCACACATTAAATCAGGCCAGTGTGTGCGTTGTCAGTTTGTCTCTGGAGAGAGCCACCTGTTCTCTGTGATAGCAAGCTGCTGCTGCTCCATACATCATACTGTCACTGCTAGAGGGAAGACACAAACACAAACATACACAGAACAACCCACACACAGGCAAACTGCCAGGGTGCAACCTCAGGAAGCTTGACAAACTGGGTCTAGTCCTGCAGATCCTGTGCTGTGACAGAATAATGCAGCTTATTGATGACGATGGCTTTCACAGTATGCTGACTGTGGCAGTGGCAGCGCATGGCACTTAGTGGGAATAATGGTCCTTTGCCCTTACACTAACGTATGCAAACTCTGTGCCAATATAAGAATAGATGTGAGACAGCTGAGATGTCAGGGCTGATTTAAAGACATATTCTGTAACTATCAAATGAAGAATAAATATCTGCGTCTGCTGAAACACTGTTTTCAAACTATGTGGCTGTATCAAATCCACAGAACCAATTTGCATTATAACCGAGAGTTCGCAAGAGATCAAGCTAAATTACTTGGTTTCAAGTAACATCAAAGTAATAAGAGTAATTTGTAGGGGTGTTTCCGATACAACTTTTTAAATTTCTATAAGATACCGATATTGATCATATATATATATATATATGGACACCCCTAGTAAGCAGTAGGGGTGCCCCAATCTGATACTGATATCGGTCCGATATCAGCAAAAAATGAACATCAGATAATAATTCCCTGCATCTAGAATCTCCAATATCAGCGCTCCAATACAAGCAGTCCATTCCAGATTCCACCCCAGCACCTCTATCTAGCAGCGCCCGGATCCAGCAGGCAAAGCCCACATGATCACAACAGTGTGTACTAAGATACTAACAAAGTAGCAAGGAGTCGGAGTGATGTCGGCCATGTGACAGTGTTTTCTGGTTGAAGTCTGAAGAAGAAGCTGAGTGCAAAACTAGTCATGCACAAGTTTGTGCTAATGTTGGATTAATATTGGTATCAGCAAATACTGAAGGCTACAATATTGGTATTGTATCAAAGGTAAAAAAATAAAATATAAAAAAAAAGTTGCATCGGGACACCCTTAGTAATTAGTCAACTGTAGCCAAATCAGATTTTCTTTCTTTGGAGAAACAGCAAAATCAAAAAAAATCCGAATTCAAGAATATATTAATCACAATTAATCAGTAAATTTCTCAGACCGGTACAAAAACAGATATATATGAAAGTAGGCAGCCATCAACTCTCTAGACTGATCACAGAACAAAATGTAAACACTCAATACAGAAGATAACATGTAGCACCATCAAACAGATGCTGCATGAACTGGTTTACACTAACCCAACACTTGCATCTTTACATGATAACACACTTTGTGAAAACTTTTGAGCACAACTGTGATTTAAAAGCTTAATGTGCGCACAGGGAGAGGTCTCATTCCCCATAAAAAACACACACACACCAGACTAAGTCACGTGCAGACTTCACAGACAGCCACCTCCAAAGAGGGAAGCCTGAAGCCTGCAACACTAGAAACAGGTCTGACAGACACATAAACAGAGAAGAGAGTCCAGTCTGTTGGACAAAATAACACTCATTTCATTGACTTTAACTCTTTGTCCACTAATGGAAGCAGCCATAATGTGAAGCAGAATTCAGAACTTCCTCGAATAGCAAAATACTAACTAGGGCATTTTCACCCATGGCCTGCATTAACCTCATACACGCACATTAAGGACACCTCTGAAAATCATCTGAGAGTGCCTACAGCGAGTCATTGTTTTGTTATTTACTTTTCTGTTACAGCACTCCACCGTGTTATATTTAACTATCAATAATTAAGCATGCCCTGGATTTTTTTTATGGTAAGTAGGCCTCGGTGTAGGGGGGGAACTTTTTCTAAAAACTGTCTAAATGAGCTCATGTATAAAAAGGGAATAAGGAAAGACTCTGAAACTGCTCGTAGCAGCGGCACTGAATTTTATGGACAGCTGTAGAAGAAACCCATCACATGACATATCTGCTGTATAAATCCCTTTTTTCAAGAGGATCCAGAAAGAGCAGTGAAGCCTCAGTTTACCTCCACACATACACTCACTATCTGACCTGAAAGAGGCAGGTGTGATATCTGAGCAGAGGACTGTGTTCAAACACGTGTTGTTGAATGAATGGTCCTGTCTTGCATAATGTTTGTCCCAGTGAGGGGTAGCAGAGGACAAAGTTCTCATTCCTGGTTAGCGCAGCACAGTCACTGATTTGGCTCTTCATTTCTTCCTGGCAGGTGTTCGCTAAGATCTGTAGTTAGAGCTGAGTGAAAGATTTAAATTCATCACTGCACTGAGATATTTTTTTTCAACTAAGTTTGACTCGGACAATCCTGGAATCAATCCTTCCACAGAGTCGGCTGTCGGTCAAACAGTTGACTACTCTCTTAACTAACTTAAGTGCATTTTAAATAGCTGGATCAAGGAGAGGAGTTTTAATACAACCAGATTTAAATGGTATTGGATCGCTCAATAAGCTAAAAGAAAAAGATAAAAATCTGCCTCGAGCTTCACAGTTAATAGGCCCTTCATTCCTGATTGTGAAAATAAATTAAGCATCTTTTCCTGGTTTATTGTGAGTGCAGCAGCTGTTGAATAATGCCCCACAGTCCTTTGTAAAATCAGTGAAATTGCACAGCGTTGTCTGTTTTAAAACGGCTATATTTGCATGCAGCATTAAGAACTAAAATCAGATCTGCTTTGATTAAACAAAATCGCAACCAACTTTTTATTCAGATCTCAAACTCTGTCATTATAACCAAACCCTGCACATTTCTCTGCAATGTTTAGAAATGTATCACCACTGACTGGCAAAAAACTTCTACTAATCTAACACTGGTTCTTATGGAAGCGCATTGCATTCACTTCCAAAAAAAAAAGAAAATTTTTGAGTAAATTTGTTTTTGTTTCTTCTGTTTTTTGTACTAATATTTTTTTCCACTCTCTGTTTTTTGGATAAATTTTTATCCTGTTTTTGGTACTTTTTTTCCCCCTAAGTGAGATACTTCAAATCCTGCAAGTCCTCCAATCTCATACAATCAGATAACGTTAACCACCGCAGCAGCATATTCTCCACTTCCTAGATAACTTCGACTACGGGGTCAATGAGAGCAAGGCATGTTATTAGTTAAACATAGTGTATGCAAATCCCTGAGGTGCCTGCACAAAATAGACAAACTTATGACGATTCCATCTATCTGACTTAAAGAAAGGAGTATCTTCCAGAATCTCAAACCCAAAAGAGAGTAAAACTTGATTAAACTAAACAAGTGGGCAATGTTTGCTTCCAATAAATCGAGCAGAGGGGGATAAAAGCATCAGTTTTTAAATGATCATCATCCTAGAGAATAGGAAAAACAATTAGTCTGAAAAACAAAACCAAAAAAAAATTGTCCGAAAAACAGAACAGAAAATAATTACATTGAAAAACTGCTTTTTTGTGGATGGAATACGCTTCCCTAGGTACTCAATATCTAACCCAGTACTTAAAAAAAAAAACTCTCTCTTGTTTATATAAGACGCAACAGATAATATTCAAAATATAACCATAATCATGTTAATTATCTAGATAATGGTTTGGACAAATACCTGCCTCAATATCCTGACACACTATTGAGCACAAAACAAACTTCTGTTTACTCTCCGATCATTTTGACCAAAGATTTTCATTCTGCCATTTTTCCAGAGTTGAAATAGCCTGTCTATAATGATTTTTATCGGCTTTGCTGTGATCTGACTTCTATGAAGCCTACGAGCGAATAGATGACTATTACTGAGATTCTGGCACCTGGGGGTAAAAAAAAAAAAAACTGCTTATTTTTCAAGAGAAAAAGGTGTCATGAAATGTAAATGACTTCAGCTGCATGCACAGACTGAGCTCTGTAGACACTAAAGAGACAGATCCATAGAGGAAACCTGCTCAACAATGTTTACGATGCAGGCGAAGAGCAAAACCTCTCAGAGCAAGAGCAACAACACCCCTTGAATAAATGGCTCAACCTTGAGGGAGGCTGATAAACGTGCTTGAGAGGCCAGATCAGGCCTGGACTTCAGATTCTGATAAAAATATAGAAAGAGACCTGGAGGTTTTGTTTCAACTTTACATTCACTTTGACAGTAGAAAGAAGAAAATCTACCAACTACAAAACTACATTTATTTCAAGAGGTACTTCTGCACTGAACTGTGAGGCATGGGCTTGATGAAAAGGAGGTTTCAGTTTCCTTGAATTCACTCAAGACCTTTTTCCTCTCAGTAATCTGCCAAAAGCAAAGGACAGAGCACGAGATCTCTAAACTTGGCAGAAGATGTCACCAGAGGTCACCGAATAAAGATGGGAAAAGTAACCACAGATGCACCAGTGGGTGAACAAACCGGATTCTTGATGCTCAGCCGACCTACATCTGAACACAAACTAATCAATATGCCACATTATGAATATGTTTGCTGCAAAGTGACAAAAGCAGTCCTGCAGCTGAATGCATGCGATAGGTGTCTACACAAAAGGCTCGAGTTGCTAATCAACTTGACTTGCTAACAGTCCGCAAATATTTGCAGACTGTTAGCACGTCAAGTATTGACACGCTGATTGTTTAAAGCAGCAAAATGCATTCCACATGATGATTAATAACAGGTCACTGGATGCTAACACACAAGCCCGTCTGACTGAGTGAAAAATGTGGGAAGACGTCAGCTATGAGGAATGTCTCACCCACTTTCAACACCCCTCACCCTTAATTCTGACGTACACAAGTGCTCCTCTTCCTCCTGAAACATTCACAGGGTTGTTCATAAGGCTTACTTTTCCACAAAGATACAGTAACTGAGTAATAGCATGTGAGATTGAACATGCAAGTATGAGTTTAGATTACTGTCCACAAATGCCAGAAAGTTGCTGCTTTCACTTTCACAAACCCTGAGTTTAAATGCTTTCTGGTCTGTTGAATTTTGGAGGAACGAGTCAAAATTTTTAGAGAGCATAGCTGACAAACAACCCTTATACTCTGACATGACACCTGTCAGCGTCTCCACTCAGCAGCTGCACTCTGTGTGCTCTCATGCCGACAAAGCTAAACTCTACATTCTATCTACTAACAGGGCTGACAGTAGACTTTATGTAGGCCATCAGATTCATTATTTCTAGGTCAACCAGAGGAGGAGTTGATGTCTTCATCACTGAGGAGTTTCAGCATGACAATGCTTAGATATACTCCAGAGTAGTTTGTGAAAATTTCCCTATAAATGTGTGGGGATTTAACACAGGTGTCGGCAAATAAGGATTATTTTGCAGTGGGGCCTATTTGCACAGAGAGAGATGTACATTTTGCTCCAGATGATTTCTTAATAGATCATTCAAATGCTTCTCAGATGTGCAGTTTTTGGAGCACTCAACCTTTTATGTCTGCTTTACAAGTGTGCAAACTTGTGCTCATTTGCACAAGTTTAGCATCCACAAGAACCACACACTAAGGTGACCAGACGTCCCCGATTTTCCGGGGACAGTCCCTGAGTGGAATGACCTGTCCCTGGTAAAAGCTGTCCCAGATTTAAGCGTTTCATGAATGAGAACAAAAATGTTGCGTGTAGGCTAGAACAACGGTTATTACGGTAGCAGAATGGGTAGGAAGCACAAGTAAGCAGTCCTGAACAACAGTTTTAAAGGGGGTTATTACAAGGGGCATGCGCCGCTACTAAATAGTACCGAGATGTTGTCTATGATCACAAAGCCCCTGCCTCTGATACAAGCCTGCTTCATTTACAGGCCTGGTACCTGAAGCACTAAAAACAAGACCTGGGTTTATTTATTTATTTAAAATAGATTTATTTGCTCGAATTCAGTTATTAAGGCTGGGCAATATGGCCTCAAATCATTATCACGATATATTGAGCTACTCAACTTGAGAACTATTTATAAATGAACGATAACTACTCCACAAGCTGCTCACCCCCTCCCACAGTAACTTTGTCTATCCTAGCCACCGCTACAGCTTTTGGACTGTCCTCCATCTCCTCACCTGTCTTTCCATCTTTGTTACGGACTGGATGGGGTGGAGTCACGTCTCCGACATAGGACAGTGTCTTAAAAGGACAGGAAACCATAGCCTACCTACAAACGTCCAAAACCAACTTTTCTTTTATTTATTTATTTGACACCGAATATATCGACATGGGCAAAATGACGTTGGTTATTGTCATAAATTTCGGTATTTGTAAATTTCCAGTTTATCGCCCAGCCCTATTTAATATGCATATACAAAATACCGTCATTGATAGCTCAGGTGGCATCACTTAAGTCAAATGATAATGCACACAAACTGTCCATCTGGAAAACAGTTCTCTAATTGTTCAGCCTCTTTTACTTGGTAAAGCACTGTAATGTTTTTCCTGGGACTGGATTACTGAAGTTGAAGCGAAGTCAAACCTAAGGTAAACTTTCAAGGTTGACTCAAACTTAAGGACAGAAGCTGCTGCTCAAGATCCAGGCCAGAGAAGTAGCTAAAGTCAGAGAACCTTGTTGGAGCCCAAAATAGGACAGAGCCATTGAGACTCCCCCAGCCCAATTTATCACAGTGCTCACAGCTCGGCTCAGAGCAGAGGCGAAAGAGAGAAATATCACACAGAATTATCCTTCCATCCACCCCTGAGTCCTGCAAGTGGTACAAACAGACTGAAGGAGAGCAGCGAGGAAGAAGTGTGGTCATCAAAACTAGAACACGGGCGTCTGATTGCACAAGCAACAGATATGCAGAAATTTTAGAAACACCAAAGCTTCATAAGAGAGGATCTGATTAATATTCGATGAGCACAATATTAAAAAATGTCAATGAATTATGGATCATGGATCAAATTCGGGATGGAATCATCTAGATTAGGTAGAAAATCATGAATGAATTTACGTTTTTTTAAGTCTTGCCCCAAACCACTGATAAAAGATAATAAAGCATACAGAAATTTACATGCACACGCCGCGTTAGCAGGATTCAGCGGTAGCATGTTTCTAACTCATCATTTTCTCTCTTTCTCTTTTACCCTTCCCCCTCCAGGCTCTCGCTCTCTCTCACTCTATCCTCCTCTCATCCTTTTCTTTTTCCTCCTCCCTCTCTCTCTTTCTCTCTCTCTCTCTTCCTGTGTTGCAGTGTGATGTCACCACCAGAGAGCTAATGTTCCGTATCCTTGGGGTGCTGCATTCCTCCTTACCGACTCACACACAGCACAAATGAAAGCCCATGCTGATGCGCACACCCTACCAGCACCAGGACGGTTTCTCTTATCCTTCTAGTCCATCTGTGCCTTACAGCTATAAGAGCTGTAAGTGCTACAGCGGTGTTTGAAAGCACTCTCTCAAACCCTGAATTCAATCTTTTTTCTGAATCTCATATGGTTCACTTTTAAACACTGGCTAGAAACTTGAGGCTGATTTCACTACAATTCAAAGACAGTCAACTTGGGGTAAGTATTGAGTGACTGATTGTTAAGGACTTACCTGGAAACACATATTTTTGTTTGATTTTCTTTCATTATCAAGCTGCAGCCATGTGCCACATCTACAAGCGCTCAACAATTGCAGCTTACAGCAAAGGTTGAGAACTTTTTACAAGATATACAGAATTGATGTGGCTCCTTGTGACTGACACCCAATCATGTCGACAAGCTTATTTAACTCAATAAGAACAAGTAGGCAGAAAACTGGACACTAAGTTCTTGTTGCAGCAAATCGACATGTCCTTTTTAGCCCCACTCTCTATGACTATATATCTGCAGAGATCTTTTTAGCGAGTCTGCTCTACATGTTGATTTTTTAGTGAATATGAACGGTATATATCCAACACTCTTGTGAAACACTTACATTGAGTTTAGCCTGGTTAAAGTTCACATCTTGTACCTATACGCTGAAAATGAGAGAAATCTATTCATGCTAATTAAATTTATCAGACACATTCAATTAAAAGTTTAGCCCAATTCATTCGAGTACAGCCGGACCTGAGTCAGAACTGATAAGCTTCCCTAATAGATAAGGATGTGGGTAAAATACTGAGTGCAAATTAGCTTAGTTAGCGTTCTAGCTCCACAAGTGTAAATCAGGAACTGTATCTGAAACAGAAACAGGCTATCAGAAGACACCCCCGAGGGTTTTGCTGCTAATGTGACTCAGAGGAAATGTTTAGCTTTCTAAATTGTCCGTTTCAGGAGTCCTTGAAAGATCCAAACAGGAAACTCTCCCAAAGATTAACTCCTCTCCACAGAGGATTTTTGCTCTGGTCTGCATGCTGTCTGTGGGTGATACACCCCACAGCCTTCAGACACAGTTTTTCATTTGGACATGTTTGTTGGTGACTATCAGATTACGTATAACCGTCACTGTGAATACCCTAAATTAGGCTCCTTCCTGTGTGATAAAAGTTGTGATAATAGATGCAGTTGGATTACTTTCAGTATGACATTGGCCTCTTTGGAAATTCCCAGTGACAGAAATCCGTCTGGACGATACTGAGACATGATACAGCGTTGTTTTTTTTTTAACAATCTTAGATATAAAGCCCTTCAGAATATCAATAAACAAGGGTGAGATTTCCTTCGGCTGTCTGTGGGACTTTTGACTGATAACAGCTTTACATCCAGGCTTTCTTACTGACCTACTGAGCTATGACGTGGTCTTCTGAGCTGACCTTAGTACAACTATAGTTAAAGCACACATGCTTGTCAATCTTTTCAATATGAGATATGATGTTTTGGTGTCTGAAGTCTGAGGTTATCGGGTTAATTTTACAATATTTTTTCTGATTCAAATCTGAGCGAGAGATACTCACAACAAACTTAATTAAGGATTGAATCAATCCAGTAAAATTCATTTCTAACATATTTGATTCACAGCAATCACAGCCTGGGTACATTTTTTACAATGACAGGCTTGTTTACCCTGTTTAAATTAATTCTTAATTAAACCCCACTTGTGTGTTTGGGCTGTTGTTTTCACAAACATGACGTCATGTTGGGCCTTAGGGAAATAACATGAACATTTAAAATTGTCTATAACCTGGTATTTTATAGACAAAATACAGGTGAGGAACATTTTTACAGGTTTATTATTTAGCCACAGCTTCGCTTTGGTTGCCTTGTCTCTGCTGGATATTAACACATATTTAAGCAATATTCCTCGCATTTAGCCACCTAACAAATATAATCAGTATATTATATATGGACTGCACTCTCAGATAACCTTGCAAAATGTCTGATGTGTCACTGGATTATCAATGTTGAGGTTCATATTTTCTCCTGTTTAAATCACATCTTCATACAGCATCCAAATATTAATATAATTACCATCAATTAGGGCTGGGCGATTTGGGAAAAAGTTTATCACAATATTTTTTTTTTTTCATATTGGTCGATATCACTTTATATCACGATATAAAAAATGAAATTTAACAGTGCTTATTGGTAGCATGTATTTTGCAATACAATAGGTTACTGCATCTGTGAGGTCTTTGTGTCCCGTCGATGTTTTGTCGTAAGGTGTTGCGCTAGAGATAGCAGACTGAATGGTCGGCTGTTTTGGCTGCACAGGCGCCACGGGCCCCTTGCTCCCCTCGGGGTTTGTAAACTTTTGCATTGTGCGTGCTCTGCCACGTGGCGCTGCCTCCGGTGGTGAAAAAGATTTGAGTTATTCCCCGACGTTGCGAGAACATGTACTCGACATAATTTGCAGTGCACATTACTCTGCTTCATGTCTAACTTAAAAAAAAAAAAAACTCCACACCACTGACGTTTTCGTGCCAGTGTTGTTGACGATATCATCATCTATTGAACCTTCATCTGCATTTCTGCCGGGGGTAGCACTCATTTACACAGTGCTGTCGGCTTCATGTGCTAAAGTGCTATGGTTGCGTGTAGCTGCAGCCTGCTACTACACAATTGTTTGCTACTTGGTTCTAATTCAGCACATGATTGGTTCAGTGGACCCGGAGCAACTCCCGTTTTCATTGGCTGTTAGTATAGTCTACCAAAACATGGCAGAATGCTGACTATCGAAAAGCATATCGACCATGTTTTATATTGATATTGAGGGAAATTAATTTTCGATACATATTTTTATCATTTTATCGCCCAGCCCTACCATCAATACTTGTAACACTTTAAACAGTTCACTCAAAACAGGGTGATCCTAGATTGAATTACTTAGGCGAGAGGTCACTGAGATTTTCACATCACTCATGATGATATCTGCGATCATACAAAGACAGTCTAGATAGAGGTTTTGCATAACATATCCTTTCCCTGTTTTTGGCACTGATTTGTGTTGCATGTGTGTTTCACTTCCTCTTCTTGATGGTTACCTGCAAACAGCATGGTCAGCAGTCAGCTGTTCATCCACAATGACGACACACTACCTCCTGTAGTAGCCGCACAAACATTTCTCGCGCCCGCATTTACACATGTACTGACTGGAAAGGTGTATAAGAAAATATTTTAAGAATCCATTTCCTTGAGTCTGTCTTGGCTGCAAAGCTGTTCAAACCAAATGGGATTCGTCCGTTTGATCTGTGACAGAGTTTTACAGGGTTCCCTTTGGTTTCTAGAGCATTTTCTTGTTTCGGGAACAAGCCAAGACACAGGGAACAAGCCTGTGAGATATGAGGGTCTGTGCCACAGTAGCCGAGCAGCACAACAAGGGTGTGGTGACTCCGAGAGAGGAATTTCCTCGGGACAGAGCAATGTTTTTACAGTTTTTCCCCGAACAGACCACAAGGAAATGACTTTGTTAAACAAAAATGGAAAATGTACACTCAATACATATATTTTAAGAATTTCGTCAACATTTTTGCTTTCTAACTATTCGTGTTCACACAAAAACACCCAATACCATTCAGTCTTGTTAACAAACCAAGTAGATTTTTAAAGAGAAAGGGGTCATAGAGCTTTTACGGTGAGTATCTTTATACCACCTCTGCTGCTGAAGTCCATATAATTAAATTACGTAATGAAGTATAATAAGGGTGTAGAGACAGGGCTGGGTAAGAAATGACCCATATCTTCGACGGTGAACCGTAGGGGAGAGAACCATCGGGATTGTCCAATGTTTGTGATCATTTTCTCCTACATTAATATCGACCAAACGTCGAAACAGCACAGCAAATCTGGCGAAAAACTTCCAAACAAGTTAGACGAGTAACAGGTTTCAATTCACCCAGTTGTTGCTCCTGCTGGTTCCTCGGCTCACTTGGCGGAGAGCTCGTTTGATTACTTCTGCCTAAAACTTCAGAGTCGCCCTTTTCGACAAATTCGGGTTTAATATTTTTTCTTACGAACGATTTAAAGAGGCAAAAGGGACAGTTTGTTCTCTTACCTTCCTCGCTGTGTGCTTTCAGATGCCAAAGTCCTCCGTGTTCCCCTCCCGTGGTCGCCCGTCCCTTCAAGCAGCTGTAATCAGACTGAGAGCCGGAGGAAGCGGCCAAACTGGTACTGGCAAGATCCTCCCACAGTGCTGCGTTCATGGCCTGCGGAGAAAACCGTTCTCAGCACTGCAATAGTACAAGTATATCTGGGCTACTGAACCCAGGTCGGTTAGCGTCAATGGTCAGACAATTTGAGTCTGCAGCATTCGATCATCATTCGTCGATTTGTCTCTTTTTTTTGTATATAGATATATCTTTGAATAACAAAAATATTCGTAGCAAATTGCACAGTGCATTGGTTTGAAAACTAATATCCAAGAAGCTTTTAGCCAATCGTTGATAGTGCAGGATCCTGAAGTTGTGCCAGAGTAATCACACTAAGTAAAGTAGCTCCAAAGAAACGATGTTTGTTGTGACAAGAGAAAGAGTCTGCTTAAGACAATTTTCTCAACATCTAGCTGTGACAAACTTCTTCACCTCTGTTGCTTTTACAGTCCAGAGTCCACTACTGTACAGCTAAAGGATTCATGTTAAGCACATTTTTATATTCTTGAAAATGAATAACAATTAATTTGTAAAATTATAATTCAGTGACTGTGTGCTGGATAGGCTACAGGCGTCAATGCAAACCTGATTGTCACTTCGGATATCTGTTTTTCCGAACCGTACTTGAACGCAGCACGGTGATCCTCAGCGTTTAACGGCTGCAGTCTATTGGCTGACAAGATTTAACCGTTACTAGGTCACCGCCCCTGCGCCCTTAAATCACGAGCAACAACGTAATTTTGAATCTTTCTCACAAATTATTATTATTATTATTATTATTATTATTATTATTATTATTATTATTATTATTGTTTTGTTGTTGTTGTTGATGTTTTTATTCCCTGTCCAATAGGACACTGACCCTTGAGCCACTTCCCACAGTGCAACAGGAAATCGCTCCACAGGGATTTAAACTTTTGAACATACAATTCTCTTGGTGAGGTCTTAAGTTCATTACCCTGAGGCAGAACAAACTGTAAAAACACAGAAGCTGCAGTTTGTGATCATTTCCCGACCTACAGAAGTCATATTATAAACCCACAGTAGCCTTTTGTAAGCGCAAGATTCTTATCAAAACTCAGTTTTTTACACTCAAATCAGAAAGTTTTATAGGAATAACTTACACTGGTGAAATCTGTTTGCACTGTTTCTGATTTTTCAGGGTTGAAAATGAGAAACAAACGCTCAAGTGTCGAAAGAAATGGCCAACAGGCTTTTTTCACGAGTTAAATATACAATGCCTTAGCTTTCTAATAACATTTCTGACCAGTCAGGGTAGTTTCAGTGGTAATACCCACATACTGTAGTTTAAGATACAGCACTGCACACTGGCACCTCCCAGTCCCATACAATACTGGGGCTATTTCTGCAAAATGCCAGGAGGGGGGAAGGGTGCTTGATAGATAAAGATAGATGACTGTTTGAACTGAAGTTGTGGCTTATTTATCAAATGTTTATTTATAGAGAGACAAGAACGAAGCATTAAAAAAAAAAAAAAACTGCATCACACTACAGCCCATTTGGCTGCATCTAACTTTGAATGCTTTATGGACCTTTAAATACAAAAAGTCCAGAACAAAGACATGAAAGAAATAAAATCAGTCAATGATGAAACTAAAGCAAAACACTTTTATGAGAGGGGGCATTAGATCAGTCATGTACACATACCACAACTATTTAAATATGAGTGTAAGACAGATCCAATAGGGAGTGAACTGTGGGACACTATTAGTAATTTTTTCCATGTGTCAGTCACTTGAAAGTTTTAAGTTGTTACATCAAAAAGGTGCATTCAGATTTCAGTAAGATGCACCTTTGCATGAACCTAAAGTGAAGCACTGAGCATCTAAATAACCTGACAGTGTAATACTTAACTTCTATAGAAAATTGCATAAGTCACAATTATTCAGCAATCACAGTAGCCGGTTTCATCGTAAAAGCTTGGTAGTTAGGGGGGCATTTCTCCTCACACAGAGACTGCACTTAACTGCAGTGTAAAAAAATGAAAATCATTGAGTGTACAAAACTTAGTGTACATGAGTGTTCTTTTATCATGAGAGCAAAGTTAAATAATCAGCACTTATTTACATCACATGTAAACACAGACAATCAAGCTTTGTAAAAGTGTTCTATTGAAGTATCTGCAGGCTGTCATGAGATAAATTGGATCAGGGCCGCAGGACTTGAACTTATGGTGAACACAGAAGTACAGTACAAGAGATCAAAAAGAAAAACAAGTTGTAAACCAACTACTCGCTTTACACTCTGCTTCTTAATTTGGCTTTTTGCTAAATCTTGCAGGGTTCTGTGAATAGATTAGTGTACACTATGAATGTCAAATCTTCTGTGCCTAAACTAGTCTTGTTGTACATTGCTATCTTCAATTTTATCTTTAAAGGCTGAATAAAAATGAAGCCTGAAAGATCCACAGAAACATCCATCCTTGTCTTTGACCTCAAGCATTTGTTAAATGGTTACCTGGAATAAATTGAACTTTTAAATGTCAAGTGGTGTAAACACAAGTTCATAATCAATATACAGTGAGTAGAAACTGTGCAAATGGATTACAAATCCATACATGTTAACAGCAAACAGGCCTGGGACAGTGAGAAATATAATTTGGCTTTATCAAATAAGAATGAAAATTAATGTAAGGTCTGTGCTGTAGAAAATAAATATGTACATCTGAAAAAGTACACCCTGCAAGACATTAACCCCAAAGCGTTTAGTCTGCAATGCAGCAGAAACAGCACAGATTTGTTGCTACTACTGTACTCTAAGTAAGTTCAACATCTGTCTAAAACTGTCCTCTTCTTACTGGTTCTTAAGGTCAGCTGATTAGTGGACTAAGAGAAAAATGGCTGCCTCCCCTTGGCATGGTCAGCCAACCACAGTTTTGCTAAAATTTATGCATGTAACAACACAGATTACTTTCATGTTTTAGAGGCTGGATCCAGACAGTCACTGTAAAATACACTGGTCTCATATGTGGTTTAAAAGTGCCCCTGGATGTCACATAAACACTGAGAGATTATTGTTGAGAAGCTGTGGTCTCACAAAGTGAATATAATTCATAATAAGAATGTACATTATAGTGTCGTGTTTTTAGAGCTAGTGATTAAAACACAACAATATTATGTGATGTTGGGGGAACAAACATTTAACATTAAAAATCAATTACAACAACAACATTGATAAAAGTTTATGAACTGTATTAAATGTTTGGTTGGGGGCAAAAAGTCTTAAAATATCTCCCTGGGATGCTTTTGCTGCACAAACTCAGCAAACAGCAGTAGTACTGCTGTGATCATTTCTCATTTTCAGAGCTTGCAGAGCACCAGGTTGTTTGCTCTCTGCTTCAAATGCTCCTCTAATCCAAATGTTGTGGATGAGTTTTTTCCCCTCAAACTTGCTTCTCAGCAGAGTCTGTGCTCTGACTGGGCATAGCAAACCACATCTAGTGATGTGTTGACAGCAGCTATGTAAAATTGACATATTTATATAATCGGTGATGTTGACGCATCGCTCCAGCCTCAGTCCAGTGTGACTTATATAATCCAACCAAAGCAAAGCAAAACTGTAAGCACTAAAATACAAAATGGAAATGGATTTCTGTCCTAAAGCATAAAATTCATTTGAATGTTTATTGTTTTGGGTTTAATTGTAAATATGTAAATGTAAAGCTCCAAATTTTTGCGATGAAGAAAATGTAAAAATGTAATTTTTGCATATCTGGTATAAAACAGAACCATTTTAAGAGGACCATGTTAATCTTGATGGCACACACAAAGAACCTTGCCTTCTAATGATTTATTAAAGCTTATGTAATACAGGTTTAAGGTGGTACCCAAGCCTCCCCCTCAAGACACAATATCAAAATAACTCTGTGAAACCCAGGGATGTAATTTCTCATCTTTTCCCCACACTAGTCATTATAGATCAGTGAACAGAGAGAAGGAGAGAACAGGAGGCTCAGGTCCCCCAGGAAGCTTACTCAGGAGAGTGGAGGTGGAATAGATGTCCTCGCTTCACCCTCAGCGAAAAGGACAGGACACAGTGACACCTAGTGGTGTTAGATACAAAATACAAGCTAGAACCGAGAGGACAGATTAAACTCAACCAATTTTTACGTGTGTTATGCAAGTAAAACATTAAATTTTTACCCCAAATTCATTTGGGGACAATAGACAGTGTGTAAACTGTAGATTAATATCAAAGATTGGGGAAATAATATTGCAACTTTTCCATAAACAGTGACAGGCTTTCCTCTGAGAATACCATCCCACTTAAATTTCCTTAAACTAATACAATAAGAGACTAAACATCTCGATTAACCGGTACTGATGAATGTTTGTTATATTTCCTGTTGCAGTTACTCTCCTATTTTTCTACTCTGGTGCAGAACACAACAGGAGCCCAAGATTTGTGAACAGAGCTGTCAATTATTACATCAGATGAATGTGATGAAAACTTTGACAGAAAGCATGTTTGAGAGAAAACCACTTGATGTGTACTTTGGTTTTATAGTTTGACATGTGCTCCATCTGTTTAATGAAGTAGGCAGGCTTCATTACCTTAATTACAGTTCGTCACCAGGGAGCTCTAAGAGGTTTGGCTTTACTCTCAGTGTTTTACAAAGGCAGGTCAGACTGTGTTGGATACATTTCATCTTTAAACAATATATAATCTTTAAGTAATTAATTGATTTGATCTACTGACAGAAAATGATTGACTGTCTATACACAATGCATTCAATAAGTAAATACTAATTTTTGTTGTATTTCACAGTAAACTTCACAGTTTTGTTTCTGAAAGTTTGGGGGCATTTGTGACAGTTTGTTCTCATTTCACTCAGTACTGAAATAGGACAATGATTAATGGTTTATTATAAGGAGTCTTTTAGTTTGAGCCCAAAAGTGGAAAAATCTTGCTATGATTAAAAGAAGATTAATGTATCATCATTTACTATTATTTAAAGGTTAAAGTTCTCAACCTTACAGACAAGAAGATGTGTCA